TCGGTGTGGAGTGGTGTGTGCTGGCGTATGGCTGGGGTGCTTACCATCAATTGTCGCACTTGTCCCGGCACCTCCGACCGTAGCCACTCGAACCGATCGTTCAGACATATAGCCAGACATCTACATATAGTACACAACCGAGACCGAGAGATACGATAAAATGAGACTTGCTGGCGCTGAACAAGTTACTACTGCCACGAAGCGGATTGATTTTGTCTCTTAAAACTGCCTCGGGTATGGCAGAGCCGGTGATGATGATGATGACAACTCCCAGTAAATCGGGATTCGTGAGAAAATCCCCATATGGAAGGCGTGACTGCAATTTTATGCACACTTCGGCTAATGGTAGCTGGAGGTACTGCCAGGAGCACGGCTCCGCCTGCCGGAAGTGACCCCAGTAACAAGGTATTCAATGCGATTAATGGCCTATAATTGTTATTTTTGGTAGAGTTCAATGCAATAGCTTTGAACTCACTGAATCACATTCGAATAACACCTTATGGACCAAGTTGACTTATGAATTTATATGAATTTTTGATACGCAACGCATATATATTCTTAAGGATCCTTAAATGTACTTTACAAATATTAAACATAAATATAATAGGATGTAATACATTGGTAAATAAGATATTACCAAAAAACTTAGATAGATTTCGCATCAATATTAACATATGTTCAAGTCTGTTTTTTAATAGGGATATATAATCAATTAAAACCTATTTCTAAATACTGAACATATGGCAACAATATAACCTGAATTAATTACAGGATATTAGTTCAATGTTCCACCCTTGATTAGTGACATTCAAGCCAAGTGTTATGTGAACAGATATATATATTGATCCAAAACACTTAGCACAAAGCCAGATACAAGTGGCTTTATCGACACACGACAACCGTCGAATATTATAAGGCGCCCAAAGTCAATTGACGCCAAGGACAGGTATTCCAAAACCCAGTCGCAAGCGATCGAATCTAGATTATTTTCGAATTGTGTGGACTTACTTTTCGCGGCCCGATCAAAAAACCTTTTTAAAGTGGTATAAAGCAGTTAATTCAATTAATAAACGAGTGTCAAATAATGTCACTGGCCCACCATGCGATAGCACATGGCCATATTGTCTTCTTGGCGCCCATTAAGAGTCCAAGTTAAGTTATCTGTCATTGGGGAGACATTATCTACCGTGTAATAGGTTATATATGACTGTCATTAGATTCGAATTAATTAGCAATGGATTGTCGTTATACAACGCGAGTCTTAAATATTTAATTTTAGCCATAAAACAATACATTTATCTGTGCTTTAGCCATGTGTTGATTCGATCAATTAGACAGTCCAAATACAAGCGGCCTGGAGAGGTGTTAATGAGTGCATTTGAGGGTTAACCAAAGCCGCCTGTAACTGGTTAAGGGTGGATGCCATTTACGTTAACAAACTGGCTTCCTATGAACAGGTCTATTTCCACAGAAAATGTCTTGTCAAGGCACAAAAATAATAGGGAGTTCAAATAAATAAAGTCAACAAAATATCACTTATCGCTTTGAGTTTGTAATTTGCCCTTTTAGCATTTTATATATCTGTTAATATATATATTTACCCGAAAATGTCGAAAGCAATTTCGGCATAATTCGCTTTTAATTGGTCTATTTGATTGCAGGTAATGGGGAAACGATAAACGAGATGAGAAGAACAAAACTAGCCGCCAATTACAGTTTATATATATATATATAAACAAGCTAAGATGATTTTCACAAACAAAAACTAATTTTAGAAAGATCCCCCGGACAGGAATTAAAGTTTACAAGATATAGACAGAGAAATTGCTAGATAAACATCTTGGGAATATGATTACAAATATAAACGATGCCTTTGACGATTTATCACACCCAATATAAACCATATAAATATACAATATCAACGGATACGATATTTTCAATACATATTTTATATTATTGTATGTTTCTGTAAACAATCGATTTTCGATAACCAATTTGGGTCTTCGAATTCCGGAATGAATAAAAGGAAATTCAATTTATATTATTGGAAGCGGTAAACAAATTGTCTAATGCAAAAGAACCAAACAATAAACTTTAATAAACGAGCCGAACGAAATTGGAAGACGTGTGAAAATCGTATCGTAAACGAATAAAAATCAGTTTCGGCAAAAAATATATACAGCGAATTGTTCGATTGATGGCTTATAAAGTAATACAAATATTTTTGATAATTAGCAAATCGTTAATCACTTGCGTTATATCAGCAGAATGAACACACGGCTGATATAACTCCGTAATCAACTTATTATCCCGCTCCTTGCAAATCCATTGTTTATTTTAACCTTATGTAATTTTAGTGGGTTAACTAATTAATTACATCTATCTATATAAGACCCATTAGACCATAAAGTAATATCTCATTGCTCGTTGGTAACATATGGCTTGGATAATAATGGTGAAAAGTCATGGAGGTGAGCCCAAGTCAAGTCGAGGTGAGCTCCAAAATTTTAAAATTAATTTCATTATTTAGAAACGACTTAGTATGAGCTGTTGGGTTTTTTTTTTGTTTTTGGGTTTTCATTTCTAGGAAAGATCAAGTCCAAATTAATACAAATAAATATCCCATAAATGGTGGACTCTGTTTACCTTTCTCTATTTGAAAGATTGCCAATGTCTTTTACAAAGTAATACCAATTATGCGAAATTCCCAGAGATTAAATAATATATATGAATACCCCGATAAGAATACCCCTAGAGCTATCCGACTTAAGAGAGTGGCATCTGTGGAGATGTGTGGAGCTGGAAAGAGATGGTTGTCGTCGTCCAGTTGGTTCTCCCGATCTCCTGGTTGTTGGGTTTCGTTAGGGGTAGGTACGGAGCAAGTGGCTTCATAAAATAATAACTCTTTTCACCGCCTTACGCTCTTTATTAAAACCGCCTCAGGTGACTCTGACGCAGAGCAACTCGTCAGTCGACCAGCCATCCAACCATCCAACCGGCCAATCAAACCAGATAAAACCGAATTTAATTCGATTAAGGGGGTTTTATTCGTGTGCTCTGCAGTTTTGTTGTTACTGTTGCCATCTTGGCTTGACTTGTTGGCTTGACTGATAGTAAAGATGTTACGAGTGTGTCTAAGTTTTAGTGTGTGAATGTTTGTGAATGAGCGCAGAGAGCCGGAGAATTGTTATGAATTGGGTAAACAGAGGAAACAAGTTAATAACCGCAATCGCGAATCGCCGAAAAGCAATCGTACACACAAAGAACGTGGTGTTAAGGTGTTAAATACCTATTACCAAAAACCACAAAAATGGTGTTGAAGCAAGTGACAAAGGATCTAATAAAGTGAATACGAAGGATCCCTCATCCAAAATTATAATAATAATAACTTGTTAAAGAGTATTTAGTGGCCCAAATAATTGGTCCATGTTTTATTTATAAGGCCACTGAATAAATAAACTTTGAAATTTAAAAGATGACATACTTTATATAAATTTTTAATTTAATTTAAATACAAAAACGATGATGAGATCTACATTTTTATCAACACAATAATGTTTTATGTTATACAAGTAGCTTTGCCCACAACAAGTGTCAAAATAATCAAACTTTGTGTGTTGGGTACAATTAATTTATGGAATTTTAAGTTAAACTTTATGCTCATTCCACTTGAGTAACGCCTTCTGTGATACGCTGATTATAGGGTTTTAATGAGCATATAAGATTGCTAATCTCGTTTGGATTGGTGGCAACAAAACAAGTCCCTCGGTCAGAATATAGGGCAACATTTATTCTGTTAATGTTGATCAAGAATTAAAATACAGACCGGTTGCAAGGAATTTTTAAAATGCAAAAAAAAAAAAACAAAAAAAAAACAATAAGAAAGTGAACATTAAGAACCTTTGAATTTAATACGAAATTAAATCGAAATAAAAATAATTTGATGAATAATTTAAAGTATTCAATGAATATGTAATCTAAACAATTTTTATATGAAAATATTTTTCAAAAATCAAAGTTCAAAAATCTCATAACTTAGGCAAAAAAGCATTAATTTCAATTTGGAGAGCTTTCCCGTTTTAGTTTTGCTTAGAGTAATAAATCTGCATACCTAATTTTAAAATACAAAAAATTAAGATTTTTTAGTTTTTAAAAATTTCTACGATGTAACCCCTTATAAAATTTTGATATTTTGAAAAAACGACAAAAATTTATTTTTTGCCCAGATATGGCTAGATCGATTTCCCTGCTGATGCTGAACATGAATATATATGATTTATAGGGTCGGAAATGAATCCTTTACTGCGTTAGAAGATTCTGACTAAAATTTTAATAGGGTTATAATAATAATCGTTCATTACAAAGGATTTTTTAAAACCGAAATAAAAAAACATAAATAATGATTATTACAAAAGGCGGTTTAAGATATTCCCAATGACAAACGTTTTATTGAATTATTGCAATATTTTTTACTATTTGACTGATGAGTTTCTATGTCCCACTTTTAAATTTACCAGACTTTCAATATTCTAAATTCGTAAATTTAAATTACCTAAAACCATTAACCATGACAGATATTTAATTTATTTGGTAATAATTTAGCAAATTTGAAATAAGCAATGCATGCGCAATGCGCATTGCGCATCCGAACTCTCTGCTACGTATACGTAATGCGAACGTAAGCGTTCAAATATTACGTATACGCGCTAGAAGAGCGCTCCCACGAGCGGGTATCCCGTAGTCTGGACCTCCTGCGCTGCTCGCTGGCGCTCCATACACTCCGGCGGCATGTTGAGTTCGACCACAAACACTTGTTGAGAACTTACCACACCGCTGTGCCATTGCGTGAATGTGTGCGTGAGTTGGTATGGGACCAAAGCCACGAAGCGGAAGCAGAGCGGCAGAGCAGAGAAGCAGAGGAGCAGCTGACTGGACTGGCGCAAAAAGCCATAATAATCAAGCGGTAAACACTTGACAGCGCTCAAACGCCGTGCGACAGTCGTCGCGTTAAGTTGTAATTGCCGCCACGGATAGGATTTTAACCGAGTGTACCAGTATCATTGTATATTTCGCGCTCTCCACCAAATAAAAATATATAGAATCCCATCGGTCTTGCGGTCTCGAAATATTCGTACTCGGTGAGTCGCCGCAGCCGGACGTCACGTCCTTCCTCTTTCGATTTCTATTCCGATTTCAATTCCGATTCCCGTTCGCGATTCGTGTGATATCATCCCACTCCCTGTCGGGTGTATAAAATGCAAATGCGCTCAGTTTGCTAACTTTTTCCAAAAGGTGCTTCAGCAATCGATAAGTAACCACTGTCCTCCACTGTCCTAGTTGAAAGCCAAGCAAAGGGAGTCCTCCCAGCAAAAATATGGCCGATCGCTTCCAGATCTCAAAGGTGAACGGCACCACAAATGCCGCATACGATGGCGAGGCTGGTACAGGTGCCGCAGGTGCCGATCAGCCGGATGCAATGCATCCTCCGTCCAGTACCGAGAACCACCTGCAGCCCAAGGCTCCGACCGAGAGCGGTGAGAAGGATAGGCGGAGCTCTCGCCTATCCTTCCGCGGATTCGGACATTTCCTACGCAAATCGGATGCGGAACGCAAATTTAGTCTCGCCCAGCTAACAAAGTGAGTTTAATTACAATTTTATGCATTCTCAAAAGGTTAGACGTTTCTTCTAAACTATGTCTTCTTAGGAAACATAACAAAGATTTCATTTAGAAAAGAAATTAACAACGTTTTTAATATTTTTATGTAGTTGTTTTATGACTTTATTATTATATTTGTCTAAGATATTCATTTGAAAAATGGTCAAAGAAATGCTGAAACCTATGAATGCTATTTCATTTTCATTATTTATCCAAACTATACAAAAATTAGGTATTTTAAAAATTTATTATTATATATTTTTTGTATATTATATAGAATTATTTTGAGTAAAAAAAAACATTTATTATTTTCATCCTCGGATCAATATTTAGTTTAAAGTAATCAAAGAAAAATCTTCATATATTTGACCAAAATAATTCAGTAAGACAATATTGAAACAATTTTATTGCCTTTCTTTCTTGTGAGATGCTCACGTTGAGCTCTCTTGTGGCAAAATAATTTTCAATTTTGCCCAATATACAATATACCAATTTTAGAATTTTTTGATAATTGCTTCGATTAGTGCGATAGATAAGATTTTTTTGCAATTCAGCTAAGTCGATGTAGGTGCTTGAGATATATATTATTTCCATTCATTAAGGCAACACGTGGGGTCTAAGCTTTGCGTCTAAAACAATTTAGATAAAATACAACAATTAATTAAAGTTCCCAAAGCAAATTGATCATTAACTTTTCATTCCGTAATGAGTTTCAATTGAATTGCCGACATATGTTTAAACTCAGGTCGCTTCTGTTTGTTTTGCACCCATTGAAAAGGTTCAAAGAAATAAATAATTTTATCAATACAACTAAATAAATAAAAAGGGAGAAATATAAAAGGTCTGGCGAAAAGTGAAATATTCCGTTTATATAACCGAAACGAAGGTTGCTTTATGCCAATTTATTGTAATCACGTTTAGCAAATAAACACAAAAAATGACAGCGGATTGAAAGGCTTATCTGAAGGCAAAATCGTTAAAAAAAATTGGATTAATGTGTCACTGCCTGTGTCAATTGTTACTCGACCCTCTCACCATAGCCGAAAGTGTATAATTTATAACACATCGAGATCAGTGATCTGTCCGATTGTGCTATAATTGGGGAAAATCACTGTTGGATTTGCACTTCCTATAACTAATTGTTTAATAGCTTAGTTAATAATCATATACTGCTTAACAAAAAACACTCAATAAAATTCCTATTTAATTTAGATAAAATGGAAATGAGACATTATATTTTATTTAATAGGCATACATAAAATAACCAATACCAATTATTTTCTCTGAAATTATACCCATTTGTATTAGCACTTTGTTTAAATTAAATTTTTTATTTATGTCAAATTCTCAACAAACGATTTTCAATTACGTTTATGGTAAAATTTGCCTTACAAAAGGCAGAGATGTTACGAGATTCCTGATAACTTAAATTGATTCCGGATTCAATTACCAATTTTTCCACATTTGAACAAAACAAATTTTGGCACATGACTCTTTATTGACCACGGCGACCTAGACCTGCGCAAATGTTTTTCGAATTAATTATTACAATTGCTCCACTTTCGGGATAACATAAGCACACCCATTCTCGAATTAAATTCAATTAAAAGCTGCCAAAGATATGCCAGAAAAACAAAATTTGCAAACATTCGGCGTTGTTGGTGGAAATTCGGACAGCGGATGATTTGTTTTCCCGGGAACTTTGCACACGGCAAGCGAGTTACATCAGCTCGCCGATGAACAATAATAAAAGCACTGTGGAAAACCAGAAACTGGTTCCCATTTTCGGTCCAAGGATTCGCAATAGGAAAATGCGATCTACTCGCATTTCGCGAATTCCAGAGCTGTCAATTCGTGCGGTGGATGAGCGTGTCAACAAATAAATTTGCGACTTGTCATTAGGGTTTTGCGAACGCCAATGAATTCAATTGATCGATCCGTTGCCTGAAACTCTGCGTAGCTCCAATTGTACAACTTACTCAGACCAGCTAATTCCCAATGAAACCGGCAACCGGCACGAGCAATCAATGACCATCGACTGGCCTGGAGTTCACAGACATATGTCTGTATGATGCTCCCATGTTTATACATAGTACATTGTACATAAACACACAACATGATCGGGGAATGACGGCGGAGTGGCTGTCTGGCAAATAAATGGAAAATTGAAAATGGAATTAAAAGAAAAGCCACAAGATCCCGTGCTCTCTATACTGTGTGTGCTTGCAATTTATTTAGTAGTACAATGAAAAACGCCCTCGATAGCTTTTGCCTGTTATTAATAAACAATCATAAATTATTGTGGAACTGGGTGGCGATCCAAGAGGGATCTCCAGCTAAGGATATACAAAAAAACAAGAAAGGAAGCCGAAGTTAGCCATAGGATAAATATGATTTATAGGGTCGGAAATGACTCCTTCACTGCGTTTTAAGCTTCTGATTAGGATTAGATTGGATAATTGGATTTTTGTCTTGCTTAAATTCGTCTCATTTCCGATTTTATTTTATGGGAAAATCTCCACAAAAAGTTAGATTAAACTACGTGAACAATTCAACGTTTATACAGGGGTTTCCCTAGGTAAAGTAATCAGTGGACTGATAAGAATTATGTGTTGGTAATTTATTTGCTTGCCATGCAACGACTGTATAATTTATTAAGAACAAAAAAAACATAAAATGCAATTATTCATTTCCTTTAATTATTTTAAATAAGCATTTAAAAATTAAAATAAGATCAAATTCAAAGTATATTTCAATTGATCCTCAGGTCACCCAGTAAAATTTACGAATGAGTAATGTACGGCAATGAAAGTACTTTCCCCCAGACTCACCCCTTTCAGATCCCCGATATGGTTGCCATTCAGCCATATACCTGCCCCCTTTTCGATCCCTTGGAAGCGGCGCCATTGTCCGCTCGTGGCGCCGTGCTGTGCTCTCCGATTATTGCCTTCCTCATTCCGGTTTTTAGCCTTTTTAAGATTTTAAATTATATTTTGGCATTGCTTTGGCCGCGGCTGCCACTGTTTCAGTTTCTGTTTTTGCCATTGTTATTACTTTTTGTTTCTGTTTTCATTGGCGATCAGTAAATATACATCATGGGCATTCCATAGCAACCATATAAGTATCACTCACATCCCCCACCACCCTCTGGCTAAAAAGAATTTTCCGGCGAAAAAACTCGATTTTTCTCAATTTTTGGCGTGGAACCCCTGACCTTCTGCCCGTCGTCTACCTTTACCACTCGGCTGGCTGGTTGGGCGATTTTATTGTCTTATTATTTATGTGTATACACAAATAACTTGGGTTCACGGTGCGTGGATTGCCGAGTGCTCCTAGTGGCCCAGAGTGGCTATTTCAGCTCGGCACGCTGCAGGCAACGGTCATGCTGCCCGAGGCGGTGATGGTTCTGCTTCCGTTTCATCAGTATGGAAATTTCCAATCCATCCCGGTTCACCGGCTTTTCAGGATTTTCAGGTTCCTCCAGCTAATGGTGACACACTAATGGAGTAAATTCGGTTTTTCTCTGATTGCAGGGAAACTCTGCCGCGCCTGGACAACTACCGCATTTCCATGCGAAATCTAAAGCGTCCTTCCATCGGGGAGCTGCAGGGAGAGGCGGCTGATCAGGTGAGTTCATATATCTAGTGACGCAGGCGAAGGGAAATCACCATAACAGTTTGCATAATGCATGAAAGTGGAATAAATGTAGCTTGATCTAAATTAATCCTTGACAAGATGTGACCTAGTTTATACAACGGAGCTCATACAAATACAGTACAAAAATATGCTATATTGAAGTGCAAATGTTTACTTAAATCAATATGGAATTAAGTAAACTGTTTTGTTACTATAATCAGTTAAGCATAGAGTGTTCTGTTAAGCTGTGAAGCAAGAGGTATCTGAATGGTAAAGTGATTAAATTAAATGTAGTTAACACTATACTGTGAAATAGTAATCAGTTATAGCCTAGATTACTACGACAATCTTCACTAACTATGTACAAATATATTCCAAATCATAATCGGCTGGTAACCTCGTTACCAATCTGATATTCAACCAACCTTGCCCAACAATCGGCCCAGAAATATGTAAGTGTGGCATGCACTTGAAAAAGTCAAGGGAAATAGCCTTCAAAATAACTTTCTATCAACCTGCTGCTGCTGGGATTATTGATAGGCCCAAGTGCCACTAAATGATGAGTATTTTTCTATGGATCTGTTCAATGTTAGCCGTGGCATAATCCTTGCAGCGCACTTCAGTCGCTCTCCGATCGGTTCTGAAAACATTTCAAGTACTCGGCAAATAAACAAAGCACAGCAAAAAAAAAATACATACCTAGGAAAACATAAAGCGAAACAGAACCAAAACAACAAATTATGGATCCAACCAGAAATGGATACACTTTCGGGCTGTGCTCGCACTTTGGACAGTCTTACAGAAGTACATATCTACGTACAGTGTACAGATATAGTTATATTTATATCTGTATTTCATTAAATACGTTTGCCTGATTTATTTACTTGAACAATTTTCACATTTCCGACGTGCAAATTGTGAGTTTTCCATGACGTCTTCCCGGCATCCAACCGATGGATGTATTTGCAGAGCCGACAGATTGGAGGGTCTCCGTCGTGATGACGTTGTGGCCACTTAAGATAAGCTGTCACTATAGCACCTCTGTCAAGGCCGCCGACGCAGCCCACTTTCGGAAATCCACCGCCCCAGTGGCGCTTATCATTCGGAGGAAATATGTAGTGGCATAGTGGAGTGAACCATAAGCCCTCCCAGCGTTACAGTTTTTATGGTTATCGCTAAAGTAATAAATTTGATGCGTCTATAGCGAAACTAACGTCTGGGGGTCCCTTGGACCGGAGGTTTTCCCGGTGACTCCCCTTCTCGGTATTTGTTTAATTAATTCACTTTGTCCGGCTTCTAAGCGCCACCACGGCGTATGATAGATATCATAAAAATTGCATTACAAAGCCAGCGACGGCTCATTAGGGGAATTCCAATTCCTAAATAATAGAAAACAATGTTTGGATCAGCTTCAAGGGATAAGAAGGATATGCTGCTAAGGCAAAGGCATATAGTTAATTGGAATGGAAGTATTTGCTTACATGAATTAGGCGGTAATTTAAGCAAAAAATCATTAAGTTTTGTGATTAGCTATGATGAAATTGAAAGATATTACAAGGAACTGGTGTGAGCTAGTCTTAAGTGGATGGTTTTTAACAAAAACTTAAAATTAAATACAATAACATATATTTTATTCCACAAAAAAATCATCTGCTATAGAAACTGGTTTCGTATATAAATGTATTATTTATAAACCTTATTAAGGTTTCATTGTAAGCAAAGATAATATTGTTTACAAAATGTTCCTACCTGTTTCAGTTTTTTTTTTGGGAATCCCAAAAAAGTTCGGCCTTAACTGAACGGATAAACAAAACATCTAATCAAATTGTTATTGAGTCTAGAAACCACAATTAAAAGATTTCAATGACTTATCGTAATTATCATGAAACATAAACGGAAATCCCCAATTATTTGTTTCAAGTTTTAATCTTTCTTCGTTGCCGATCGGGCAAAGAAGCCAAAACCCTTAAAGCAAATATTTCTGTTACTTTAGTTCTAAATCTAATACAAGTCTTGCCTTGGAGGCTTGGAGAAAACAAGTTTTCCCTTTCTTTTGCACATTCCTCCTCCTTGGGGACACTCGCAATCAACACGAGCGAACTTTCATTCGATTTGCACTCAGTCGCCGGCGTTTTAAGTGGATTTTTCCGCATTCATCCATAACCCGTAATGCGCAAGGCGCTATCGATGACAGCGCCGAAGCCAAATTAATTGTCAACAAGATGCAGCCATGCATCTGCCATGGGCCACACCGCACGGACATTGTTTCAAGGAGCGGCGGAGGAGAGCTCCTGCCTTCGCCTTCAACGCAGGATAAACAGCTCGTCATGGCGACTGTAGTCAACACCCGTATGTGTTTGCGCGGAGGATAATGCAGGACAAGTATGTCGTGTCATTAAAATTGACAGCACCAGCAACAGCCTGCAAATGGCACTGGAGCCGGAGCTGTTGCCATTGACGTTGGTTGATTCGTTCGTTGCTTATCACCAAGGCGGGTTCAGGGGATCCTAGGAGTGCTTAAAGCTGATCGACTACACTCCACTTCAACGCGTCTGGTGCACAAGTGTACATGAGTTGAAGCTGTCAGGGCTGCTGACAGGACGTCATTTTGATAGACGCCCCGGCTTAGCAATAGATTATTCCTCACTTTTAATCAATTAAAGTGACAGAAAACACACTCGAGATATATCGGACAGCAGGCATCTCCGAAAAACCATTACCAGTTCTTGGCAGTTTTCAACAAGCCCTGCAATCGAGCCTCTTAACAATAGTAATTTGTCAAACTGTATGGCAATATCAGAAAATATATTATCAACATCTCGCCTCGTTCAACGGGGCGTATGAGCGTTCTGTCGGTGCGGTGCTCTGTTTACCCCATCCCCGGAGGCAGCCTGTGGCGTGTTTGCCATTTGAGATTCCTTTCGGATTGCACTTGTAATTACAATTCGAATTTACAATTCATAGCGAGCCAAAGAGCTGCTTGCTATTTTTATAACATTTTATTGATTTCCTAATGCGAAAGTCTTGCTGGAAAATCTTTGTTTACCGCACTGCCAATGCCCCGAACAAGCCATTAAATTATTGGCGCATATAACAATATGTTTACCCCCATTTGTGTTGCATTTCTGATACTTATCCGCCATTAGGGGGAAGCACAAAGGGGCAAAATTATGGGAAATCTCTCTTCTTATTGATGAAAATGCAATATTTCGATTATTTATTGAAGAGCTCGTTGGCCCTAACGAGTTTTTGCGCATTTGCTTTAATACATTTGCAGTTGAGGCTGCTATGGCGACTGTAATCCCAAGTAAATTCTATCTGACTTTAAGCCGAGTGGGAAGAACGCTCCCAACCTGTCGACATAATTAGCTATCGACTTGGTCCTCGTGTAGCTAATAATAAAATGAATTCATTTCATCTATTTATGGAATCTGTGATTCAGGGCGCCCGACTTAACCCAAGTTCCTTGGTCGCCTTTGTCTATTAACTAAACTCAAATCACTGCCACAAGCTAGCCAAGAGAATGGTTTATCCTCGAGTTAGCTCCCCCACTCACAGCCCCCTGCCTCTGTGGCATAAAGCACAAATACCAATTTCAATTCCAATTTCGTGTGCGAAAATTTTCCACGCTTCGGATTGCAAAAACAGCAATGACAACGAGGAAAACAACCGCAGAGCCAAATGCGTATTTTGCTAAATGAAATGGACAAAGGGAGGAAGCGCTAGAGGGTTACACTAGTAAGACCACAAATAGAACCCACTCCCAGACCAGGAAAGCCCTCGAGACACGGAGAAAAATAGACATAGAAATATGACTTTTCAAAGGTTATTAAAGTAATAATATTAAGACGTACTTCTTATACTTCCATATACTCAATAGGAAATTGCGGAAAAAACTAATACTAAAACCTTTAACTGTTATCCACAATTTTGTGCGTCAATATCCATAGCTTTTAAAGATGAATTTTTTCTCTGTTTATAAATATGTTTATGTTTGTGTCTGTCTGAGTCTGGCGTCCGTTCGAAGCCGCCAAAAATGTGTAAACAATCAACATTAACCACCCACCGAGGAAGACTAACTAACCGACATTGCGTATACGCAGCGTGTACGAACCGAGCGTTCGGGGGTGTGTTTCTGCTTTGGCAGTGGCCACTGTCAATCGATGTCGTCCTGCCCAACCCTGTCACTGCTCCATGCCACGTGTGGCATCGCCAATTGGACGCTTTTTAAAAAACATTCAATTATGTGGGCAAACAATAAAATAAATGAGCCCCACTCTGCCACAACGCCGGTGGAACAAATAGCAAAACAATCGCCAAGACAAGGGCAAGGGCAAGGGCAAGGGAGCAATGTCTTGTGTAAATCTATTAAGTTATCACAATCACAAGATATATTGTTTTGCCAGCTCCGATCAGTGCGTGGTGGAAAATTTTAGGGCCATTTGTGATAAGTAAATTCTGTTTCAAGTGGAAATATTGTTATATTTTAATAACCTTGCAAGGGTGTTTTAATTTTAGTCAGAAACTTAAAACACTGAGAATAAATAAATTATATATATTATTGATCAGCATGAAAATCTGAATCGATGTAAAATAAATTTACAAATTTCTTCCAAAATTTAAAAATTTTATAAAATTTTCAAATTTTCAAAAATTTGAATTTTCTTAAATTTTAAAATAGGTATGCAGATTTATTAACCTAATAAAAACTAACATTGGAAAGCTTACCAATTTAAAATAAATAAATAAATATGAGATTATTAATCTTTGATTTTTCGAAAAAGTTTTCATAAAAAAATATGGTTATAAATTTATAAGTATTTTAAAATTCGATGCTAAACTTCAATTGCAAAATACAAGGGTATATAAACTTCGGATTCCCAAAGTAGTTTTTTTTCTTATTTTGTGAAACAAAATTGAATTAAAATTGTTTTGTTTTTTCTGTTTGCCAAATTAAAATAAGCATTCTATATTTTTGTTTGTTTTCCTTTCGTGATTTTCATTGGATTGATCTTGAGTCATTATAAACTCTGAATATGTTGAAAAACATGGAAAATAGTTTTCTTCTCATTTAAGATATAAGATTGCTTTTCTCTTACTGATAGAAAATGGAAATTAAGAAGGAAACTTATAGATTTACGTAACAAGGACAAATTTTCTTCAGCTCAATATAAGTCTCATTACAATACTGTCAATTTAAAGATCTTCCTTTAATACTTGCTATGTCGTTACCCAAGAAAACGACGTACAATAAAACACTTTTTAGCACCTCAAGGCAGAAAAACATATTTCACATTTTAACAACTCTGCTAACAACGCTTTTGTCAGGTTCAAATTATCATACTGTCACTTACCCGGTTAACTTTAGTTGACTTTTATTTATTAACTTCTGTGAACGCTAAATTAAACCTCAAAACAAAGGGAAAACTTGTACGTTTATGCTGAATAGTTAACTTGATGGCAGCTCCTTTCGGTTTCAGCGTTAATTTGAACACTTTTATAATATTTGCCATTTTAGTGCGGCTATAAAAATCAACTTTAATTAGAATGAAAAGCAATATGAAGCTTCTCATAATCTCTCTGCCCTGGGTGGGTGATGTTTTCGCCTTTTTTCGCTGGCGTCGGGGGGTCGTTAATTGAATTCGAGTACTAAATTGCACACTTGTCGTATGAGTAATCCCGAATAAAACTCCCTTGGAACAGCTGTCCGCTGGAGTTCATGAAGTTTACAGAAAATACTTAAGCAAATTTAAGCGAGTATTTAACATACTTCCGATTGAATGACACTCATGTCAATATCCCATTATCACAGGCATTTAATGACCGCCGATTACCCCAATTAGCAGCACATGGTCCCATGATAACCTCCATTTGTGTGCTTAAGCTGTTAGTAGGGAACTCTGATAAAACGTCATACTTATCACTGCACTGTAAAAGTTGGTTAAATGCTAATTTAATAACTTGTAATAAATGTACTAGATAAAAGAAATGTTTATAAATGCGTAGGCAGTGTTAACTCTTGGGAAAATATCTTGCAACAGTAGGTTAAGGTCTAATATTATTTATTATTCTTTAAATAATAAAAAAATCAATCCTCTTTTTATTTTATCAGAGCATTACCATACCCGAACCCGAACCAGAACCAACTGGCGGTCACATCAAGCTGGGCTGGATTGTCGGCGTCCTGATACCATGTCTCCTCAACATCTGGGGCGTCATGCTCTTCCTGCGCCTCAGCTGGGTGGTGGCCGAGTCCGGCATCTTGCAGACGCTGATTATAATTACGATCTCGGCGGTGGTCTGCGTCATCACGACGCTTTCGCTGTCAGCCATTAGCACCAACGGCGAGGTCAAGGGTGGTGGCGTCTACTTCATCATATCCCGTTCGCTGGGACCCGAGTTTGGGGCATCGGTGGGCGTGGTGTTTGCCTTCGCCAATGCCGTCTCAGCCTCAATGAACACCATTGGTTTCTGCGAATCGCTAAATGTTTTGCTAAGTGAGTATCAATTTTGGAAACGTTCCAGAGTTAATTAAATTGAATAGATAGGAAATTGGTTGGTTTTCTTGCCAATAATCAATAACTAAGACTAAGTGAAATGTAAACTAAATTAAATTGTGTAACGTTTTGTTTAGGGGTTAGTCTTAACCTTACTTTAATAATGGATATTAATATTTTATTTACCTATAATTTTTCCAGAAAACAACGGCCTGAAAATCGTGGACAATGGCATTAACGACATCCGTATAGTTGGTTCGGTCACCGTTTTGGTGCTCATCCTGATTTGCTGCGTGGGCATGGAGTGGGAGACGAAGGCACAGAACTTCCTGATTGTCACCATTGTCCTGGCCATCTTCAATTTCATAATCGGGGCTGCCATTGGACCCAACGGCAACGAGAATCATATCTCAAAGGGATTCGTGGGCTTCTCCTGTAAGTTATTAAGTTCCTTGCAAGTAGAGCTCTTCCATAGCTGATCGCTCATTTCAGGGAATACCTTCAAGGAGAACTTTGGATCAGACTATAGGTACGCGGAGGGCGTAAACCACGACTTCTTCAGCGTGTTCGCCATCTTCTTCCCCAGCGTAACGGGCATCCAGGCGGGCGCCAACATTTGTGGAGACCTCAAGGATGCCGGAGCAGCCATTCCCAAGGGCACCTTCTGGTCGCTGCTTATCTCTATGACCTCGTACGCTCTCTTCGTGCTCTTCGCCGGCGGCGCTGCTGTTAGGGATGCCTCTGGCATTCCCGGTGACCTGGTCAACGGCACCATCATTCCCTCGGAACTGCCCTGCATGACCACCGGCAACTGCACTTGGGGTCTCTTCAACTCCTACGAAATGATGCAGGAGATGTCCCTGTGGGGTCCGTTGATCTATGCCGGCTGCTTTGCGGCTACGCTGAGCACGGCCCTGACCAATCTCCTGTCCGTTCCCCGATTGGTGCAGGCTTTGGGCATCGACCAGATCTACCCGGGTCTGATCTTCTTCTCCAAGCCGTACGGCAAGCATGGCGAGCCCTACCGCGGCTATGTGCTCACCTTCTTTATCTCCACGAGCTTCCTGCTGATCGGAGAACTCAATCTGATTGCTCCTCTGATCTCCACCTTCTACCTGGCCTCGTATGCCCTTATTAACTTCTGCACATTCCACGCGGCCTTCGTAAAGCCACTGGGATGGCGGCCAACCTTCAAGTATTACAACGCCTGGATTAGTCTTTTCGGATTCGCCATGTGCGTGGCAATTATGTTCCTAATCAACTACGTGGCTGCCATTATCACCTTTGGTATCATCTTTGCTTTATACCTGGTGGTTATGTACCGGAAACCGGAGGCTAACTGGGGATCCACCACCCAGGCTCAGCAGTATAAGGCTGCTCTAATGGCGGTCACTCGGTTGCAGAATGTCTCCGATCATGTGAAGAACTACCATCCGCAGGTGCTGGTGCTCTCTGGAGATCCCAAGACTAGGCCACCATTGGTGGACTTTGGCTATCTGCTTACCAAGAACAACTCCCTGATGTTTGTGGCAAATATCATACCGGTAAGTTTCAGATTACTAAAAAGCAAACTAAATTATGTTCTAAGCTACTGGGAGTAGGGAAATCTTAGCTTGGGATTTTATAAACTACATACGTTATTAAAGTCCAACTTATTTCGCTTTTACAGGTCCGCGTCGGCTACAAGAACCGCCAGCATCTGATGAAGGATGGTCAAAAGTATCTGGATGCCCGCAAGATCAAGGCCTTCTACAATGTTATCGATGGGTTCAGTCTGGAGGATGGAATCAATGCTCTGACCAAATCCACGGGCTTCGGCAAGATGTCACCGAACATTGTGCTGGTGGGTTACAAGCCGGACTGGAATCGCTGCCGCAAGGAGGAGGTGGAAAGCTACTTTTCCATTTTGTAGTAAGTACATCCTGAGTAAAGCCACATCCTGAGTGATTACAAACTTGGATTTCCTGCAGCAACGCCTTCTCGCAGCGAATGGGCGTGGCCCTGCTTCGCCTACCCAATGGCTTGGACTTCTCAGAGTTGAGTTCCGAGGTCACATTGCCTCCCAATGGAATGGGTCACATGCACACGGCCAATGCCCAGGGCTTCACCAATGAACTGATGCCGGCAGCTAATGCCGCCTCAGAGCTCCTCCACATCGACTCCAATCTGAATCTGGCCGGAATGGATAGTCCGAACTCTTCGTTCACGTTGCCCCAACCTCCACCGATGCCCAATATGCAGCGCAGCTCCCGCAGCTACAAGGTGAACAGCACCGATGAACCGGCCGTGACATATCACACCAAGGGAGGATCGGATATTCCGCAGAACCTCCTCGAAGCCATGACCATCTTTACGAGGAAGCAGGCCAAAGGCACAATTGATGTTTTTTGGCTGTACGATGACGGAGGTGAGTGTTCAAATTTGTCTCTCATTGGGTGAAGATTTCTAATGCCCTCACTTCAATACAGGTCTCACCATTCTCCTGCCCTACATCATCTCCATGCGTTCCCACTGGCAGAATTGCAAGCTGAGGGTATTCGCCATGTGCCACGGCAAGGACGAGGAGCAGGAGGAGAAAAGGTAAATAAAGAATCTTTACTGGCACTTAAGCATAATAACTATAACGTCTTGAATGCTCCACAGCATGGCCAGTCTGCTGACAAAGTTCCGCATCAAGTACTCGGAGCTCATCATGCTGAAGGGAGTCTCCGAGCAGCCACGAGCGGATACGCTTCTGAAGCACAAGCGCCTGATCGAACCCTTCCGTCGTGGGGCTCGCAACGAGTTCGGAATCACGGACGATGAGCTGCATAGCATGGCCGAAAAGACGAATCGGCAGCTGCGCATCCACGAGCTGGTGGTCAAGCACTCGTCCAATGCATCTCTGGTTGTCATGTCCCTGCCCATGCCACGAAAGGTGAGTAAATTATCCCATAATGATTTCTGATTCGATGTCTTACCAATTTTTCGTTAAATCGTTTCAATTCAGGAGGCCATCTCGGCGCCGCTGTACATGTCCTGGCTGGAGATGCTCACCTCGGACATGAAGTGTCCGGTGGCTCTGGCTCGCGGTAACCAGACGCCCGTGCTGACGCTTTACTCCTAGATTAGGCCTTCGCTTCCAGTACGAGTACAATTTAGTATTATTAGCGTTTAGGTGTTCCGCATAGTTCCACCCGTAGTATCGAGCTCATCCCTGATTGGAGTTGGACCTGTGACTCTTAGCCCACTTGAAATTGAATTCCTGAGCCTAGACTCTAGTTCCCAGAGCCTCCACTATTTAAACACTAAACCTTTGACGCTAGAAACTAGTGAAAATTGTGTGAAATATATCTCACATACGTAGGATATGTTTCGCATGCAATAGCTTTAAGTTAATTATGATCTACTCTGAATAAATATAAACGATTTAATTACATTTGTTCCCGTCGTTTAATTTAAACAAGACTTCATATTCATCGAACGATGTGCAAGCTAGTGTGGTGTCTGTGACTGACTAAACGGGCCTACAAGTGTTTACAATACATTTGGAACGCACATGGACGTGGCTGTTGGATATTAGAGATGCTAGACACTAGTAGTAAGCGCGACGAGGATTGTTCTGTAAGGGAAAACATTCATAATGAGTCCTACAGCTGGAATATGTAGCTCAATAATCCTACCAGGGGATTGGGACGAAAGCGATATGCCAACATCATTCGCTTCCTGTAGGCATCGTATTCATTGTCGCAGTCCTCTGGCTGGGCAGCGCTGCTAACTCCCAGACCCTGATTTCCATCGCGTTGTGGAGCCCTGTTCAATGCACAAACTACTGAATGAATTTTCTTATTGGTTAAACAATAACTTACTTGTTGACGGGATCCACTATACCAGCTCCGTCTTGCCCCAGGCCCTGGCCCTCCTTCCAGCCAAGCTTTTGCAGCATTTGAAAGCCAATATTGTCTTCCTTAAGTTTGTACTCCTTGTAGTCGCTTAGGTCGGGCTGTCGATTATTCTTCTTAGCTTCGTACTGCTCCATGAACTTCTTGAGCTCCTCGGGTGGCAAGAAGTCGCCGATGTGATGCTTGCCCTCACTTTGCTTGGTCAGGGCGTTGGCCCACAAAGAGGTGGCCTCCATTTCGGCCGTGCGTAGCTTATGCTCCCACGTTCCGCCCTCAATGTCCTCGTCCGAGTCGTACTCGTATTTAAATTTACCACCGCGGGCCAAACGATCGATCTCCTGGCGCTTGCGCATCATATCCTGGTACAACAGGTTGACCTTATAGTGCTCCTCGCATTGCTTCCACTGCTCCTCGCTCAGTTGAGTTGAGCCGTAGTTTAGGCGAGCATATTGCAATAAAGCGGGATCAGTGCGTGTGATGTTGGATAGCATGGGCTTATTTTGGTTTCCGAAATTGCCAGAGGTGCCTAGTTATCATTAAAGAAATTACACAAAATTACACCATTAATTGTTTCACTCTATAGAACCATCGAATATCAACACAATTATAATTCAGACCTAATACATTATTTAAAAACTCACTTGAACTGGGCAATTGCTGCTCTTTCTCTCCCCAGCGGCTCTTACGCTCGCGTTTCCTACGCTGCCTTTGCAACTCCTTATCCTCCTGCTCATCCTGGTCGTCCGCATCGTCTCGACCGCCGGCAGCGGCCGCCTCCTCTCGCTCACGGCGTTCCTCGTCACTTAGCTCGTTGCGGCACTCGATTCGTCGCTTGATATTATCCCGATTGCGATCCATCATGCCGCGCATGTACTCGTCATCCGAATCAAAGTCAGCACTAATGGCGGACTCGGGATCATATTTGTCAGCCGCTGAGTTACTGTTTTGCTCCTCATGTTGTGGCTGTTGCTGCTCCTGCTGCTGCGCCATTTGCTGGTCTCGGTTTAGCTGCTGATGCTGCCGCTCCCGTTGCCGCTCGATCCGCTGGCGTTCGTAGTCAAGGAGTTGGGATCGATAGCTTCGATATTGCTCGCAGCTCTTATCATAAAGAAACCTAGTATCAAAATTTAAAAGAAGTGAAACGTACAATGAAAAGTGCTCGACGCTAGTCACGTGTGTACAAAGACATTATATGAGTAACTGTTTGAGGCGCCGCCCCATTAGCGGTTTATTGTGTGCTTTTTAGTTGGCATCCGCCGGCTGGCTCCTCCAGATTTATCGACGACGATCGAGGAACGGGTAATCACTGCTTTCGATGAGTCCATGCAAATGTTCTGCTCTGCCTAAACCTCACTCTATTTTTCCCAAATAATGTTCTGTCGGTTCGTTTCGTCTAATAATAACTTCATGTTTCCATTACGAATTCAAATTGCAAGTAAAACTGCTTGAATTGCCTGTCTTTCTAATTAACATCTGTGCATTTAAATTAAAATATATAAACTGATTAAGCTCTTTGGGTACCTTTAAAAAGGAGTTAAGAACAGCTAAATAAACTTTAAATAAAACTGAAATGCCGTTGCAGCTTTTAATTCAAGGTGATATTGTTTAACTGGCCATGTGTCAAGATTCGCTTTCTACTATGTGGAGTACAGCTGGATAAGCCCAACAATTTGCTAATTAAAACTCAGCCGTATGTGTGCAAATGAATGTAAAACTCAAGCTTGTAGTTCAACCCCGCCTTAATCGCTATTTATGTAATCTCCTGGGCCCCTGTCTGAGTACCGGGGTTAAAACATGTTCAGGTCATTTACCACAGGGCCGGATGCAACTCGCTTCTATGCAAACGTATTTTATCTTCATAATCTTCACCATTTTCAGCGACCAGTGCGATTAGGTTTTCTAAGCACGTTGGCAATTGTATGCACGTTTCTGAAAAAACTACATAAATTGCTTTAAAATCGTGCTCAACGATTAAAGTTCGATACAAATTCAATGAGTGGGAGGGAAAATGGGAAACAGGATGGGGTTGGGATAAGGAAAGAGGATTTGTGTGAATAGGAAATGGCAGATGGCACAAAAGAACAGAAGAGACGTAAGTAGTAGCTTCGCAAACGATACACACCTTGGGGCGGGATAGATGCGGGCTGTGCAGGCTCCGGTGGCTGCGGAGGCATAACCTGCTGCATTTGTTGCTGCTCTTCCTGCACGGGGGGCGGCGGAGGCGGTGGGTGGGCGTTGACTGCCGCTGCCATATGCTCGGGTAGCAGGCCAATCTGCTCCGCTGTATGCCCGCCAATGGTCGGCATCTGAATGGCCTCTAGATTGATCTGCGGCTTGGGAATAGCGTTCAAGTCGAACTCCTTGGGTGCCGGTATGGCATTTAGTTGCTGCAATGCCTCCACTGGCGATGGTCCAAGCTGCATGTATATTTGCCCCATATTGGCAAGGGCAATGGGCAGCTGTGGCGGAGGTGGTGGTGGAGGCGGAGCCACTGCGGCTGGATGCAGCTGTAAAGGTAGGTGGCCGTGGAAGAATGCAGCTGGCAATTGCATTTGTGGTGGTCCCTGGGTTAAAAGTGCAGGATTGAAAGCAAACGGCGGTGGTGGTGGCGGTTGCACGGCCTGCACAGGCAGGCTGAAAGCCAGATGTGTGGGCGCTGAACTGGTCACAGTAATGGAGGTGGCCATCGCAGCTGCCGAGCTAATGGCTATGGCTGCCTCCAACTGTGGGCTGCTATTCTCGGAAGCGTGTGTCTCCAAGGCATTGTTTTCCTCCGTGCTGCAATAATAAAGTGGTTCAGATTTCTCTTGAATGTGGAAGTTTAGTGGGTACCAACCTGGGTACAGGCACGGGTGTCACCAATATGGGTGGCGGCGGCTTCTCGTGCTTTTCGAGTATTTTTTTAAAGTTTTCCAAGAAGGAACCATCGTTGCAAAAGGTGTTTTTAACTTTCGGAGGGGGCTGCTCCACACTGGGCTGTGGCAGCTGTTGGCGCTTTAGACCGAATGTAATCTTTCCCGTCTTGCCGGTGAAACTATTTAGCGTCTTAGGTGCCACAGAGTCTTCCGCCTTAGCCTTGCCGGCTGGGGTATCACTGTGTCCAACCTCTAGGCCGTTCCCCTCCTCGCCTATTGTGGCCACTGATGTATCCAAGGCAGCGGAGTCTTGCTGATGCTGTTGGTGTACCTCCTCCTCCTCCTCGTCGTCGTGGGCAATTGGTTTTACGGGCGGCGTCTCCGTTTTCTGCTGCGCTGCCAGGTTTTGGGCCGCGGCCACCGCCTTGGCCAGCTGCGCCGTCTTCTGCTTCTCGAGGATCTCCTGCCGCTTCTTGGCAATGATCTCCTCCTGCTTCGTCATCTGAGCGAAGCGGTCCACTCGGTGATTGCGTTGTGACATAATTCCCTGCTTCACCCGATTTTTTATGCGACAATTTTCTTATACAGTTATGCAGTAGTGTGACCAGATTAAGCAAGAAAACACCAAACTCAAACTGACACTAAATCCCAACTGGCGAAATTTAGGGAATGAATTCGGGCGAATTAAAATATACTGAATATATTTTAAAACGATCATTTTCAATTTTAAATCGCTTAGAACTTTATTCGAGGGGAAGCAAACGCAGAATTATTTATCTAATTCTATTTAAAAAGTATTTTCCATCATAAATAAAAAACTTAATTCATTGAATTGCCCTCTCTTATTTTGTAAATTAATTTGTCGAGAACTGAACATTTTTAATTATAGCAACGACTAAAAACACACAACATAAACATAAAATCAAGCTTTCAATATAAATTAAACAGTTTTTATGGCCGCAATAATAAAATGCTTCTTTATTAAGATCAATTTTCAAAAACACCCATATGTAGAGAAATTTATGGCAATAACAAGTGGATTCAAACAGGATAAACATAGAAATTTTTTTAAAACACTGGATATACATCAGATTATTTGTATACTTGTTATTTAAACACCAATTTGTATAGCTATTGGACGTACCCCGTAACACATTTAACTTTGGCAGTGCTCAAATTAGTGAAACAATTTATATTAGTTTTTCCAGTAATTGATTACATTTTAAGCAAGAATAAATTCGGTTAAGCCACTTTGGGAGAAACATCATATATGTAGTAGTAAGTACGTAATAAATTTGTTTTATAAATTTACCTAAATGCGCCTAAAAATACATGTCGCTAATAGCTGGATTAAATATGTAGGTTCGGGAAATTTAATGAGTTTTGGTAATTAACTAATGGTACTTGGGTACTATCAATCCTTTTAACATATCAAAGCTATTGCCATCGGGCTGCACCGTTTCAATGGTTCCAGTGGGTAATTTAACCTTTAAGAAGCCGAACTCATCGATTCCCACAATTTCCGCCTCTCTTTCCTGTTCATTTTGAAGGCAAATCTTGACGGATTGACCACTGAAAGTGTATTAATTTATTTTAGATATCTGAATGTCTTAAAAAAATCTCAGTAATCTTACCTGTGAAGCCAGAGAGAGTAGTACAAGGCATAAAAGCTATCAAAATCTCCGTTTTGTACTTCTCCCAAAAGTCTTTCAATTTCATTAAAAATCCTGGCAATAAATATCTCATATTTCAGCTCAGGTAGCTTGTTTTTCTGAGTAAGGGCATTATGTTCACGGATCAAATCGTTAATGCAAACCGTTGGCTTTGAATTGTTCAAATTGATTCCGCTGCCGATGTTTACGATTGCCTGTGAGCCTTGTAGGGTGGTATTAATGACGAGGCCACCGATTTTTTTATTTCCATTTGCATAAATGTCGTTGGGCCACTTGATGGATATATCCAGTACCTGTATTATACAGAATTTTTTTAAGATAACTAAATTATAATTCAAACAGTATATTCTAATATATTAAAAAAAAGGAATTAAATTAAATTGTGAATAATTTGATAGATATCCTTTTCCCTTTTATTGTGAAAAATAAGCAAAATAAAATTTTAAATAATTTAAAAATGTTACGATTTCTGAGGTACCCCTAACTGTTCTATTTACGGTATATTTCCGCACTAAACAGTATTTTTTAGTACATTTTCGGCTAGCCGAGCTGCGAACGGCACTACCCTACACGGTCACACTGGCTCCCTGCGCTGCACTTGGTGTAGAGAAATTTCAACAACAGCAGCAGAAATTATAAAAATTATCGCATTTTTCGCCTTGTTGTCCCGTCTCGAGTTACGGGCGTGTGTGTGTGATCGCTGGAGCAGCAGCAGCGAACGCCAAGGTCGACGGAATCGGGGCAGAATGCAGAGCGAAGTCCCGGCAACTGGTGCCATCGAATCGTCGAGTCCCAGTGAGTGCGTCTGAAAAAATCAATCGGATTCCGCCGAGAATGAGCAGGATGAGTAGCAGCGCCGCCCAGCTGGCCGCGGGGGTCGTCGGCCATGGGAACAACAGCAGCAGCAGCAACAACAACGCCCACGATTCTAGCAATGCCAACGAGCCCGGGTCCGGTTCCGTGTCCGTTGACAGCAACCTGATCATCATTCAGGATATGATTGATCTCTCGGCCAACCACTTGGAGGGTCTGCGCACCCAGTGCGCCACCAGCTCGACGCTCACGCAGCAGGAGATTCGCTGTCTGGAGTCAAAGCTGGTGCGCTATTTCTCCGAGTTGCTTCTGGCTAAGATGCGGCTCAACGAGCGCATTCCGGCTAATGGTCTGTTACCCCACACCACGGGCAACGAGCTGCGACAGTGGCTTCGAGTAGTTGGCCTCAGCCAGGTGTCCCTTAACGCCTGCCTCTCCCGACTGACCACGCTGGAGCAGACTCTGCAGCTCAGTGACTTAGAGATCCGGCAACTGTTGACCGACAGCCCCAGCCAGCGGGAGGAGGAGGAGCTGCGGCGGTTGACGAGGGCCATGAAGAACCTTAAGAAATGCATGGAGTCTCTGGAGAGCGGCACTGCGGCGAGTAACAACGACCCGGAGCAGTGGCACTGGGACTCTTGGGACCGCTCTATTCACAGTCACCGCGGCAGCATTGGTAATATAGGATTGGGTCTCAATTCCGCCGCCTCACCGAGAGCCAATCATCGTCAGCATGGTGTGAAGGGGAAGAACACGGCTTTGACGAACTCAACTAGCTCGCGAAGTGGTCGCCATTCGCCCACGGGAACGGAGGAGCTCACCAGCACGCAAGGATCTCAACTGACCTTGACCCTGACGCCCTCGCCGCCCAACTCGCCATTCACACCCTCCAGCGGTTTGAGCAATAGCCTGAATGGAACCCCGCAAAGAAGCGGCACACCGCCACCCGCAAGAAAGCACCAAACTATGCTGAACCAGAGCCAGGTGCCGGTGGAAGGGGAACATCAAACCCGCAGCCGCTTGCCCACGGATCCCAGCCCCGACAGCCACAGTTCCGGCAGTTCGGACATTTTCGTAGATGCAAACACCAATGCAACCTCAGGAGGCAGCTCCTCCAACGTGTTAATGGTCCCACACTCGCCGGGCGTGGGTCACGTGGGCATGGGCCATGACATTAAGCATGGCTTCACCGGCAGGGTTGGTTTGATGACTACCTGCCGGCTGTGCCAAAAGCCGGTCTTCTCCCGCTGGCTCAAGTGTACGTATTGCAAGTACATCTGCCACAAGACATGTGAACCACACGTGCCGAACTCCTGCGGACTTCCCAGGGAGTACGTGGATGAGTTCCGGCACATCCAGGAGCAAGGTGGATATGCTAGCCTGCCTCATGTACACGGAGCCGTTAAAGGCTCACCACTAGTAAAGAAGAACACGCTGTGCAAGCCGCTTCATCATCAGCATGGAGACAGCAGTTCCCCAAGTTCAAGCTGCACCAGCTCAACGCCCAGCAGTCCTGCGCTTTTTCATCAGAAGGAACGGGAGCTAGAGAGGGATCAGGCGGGAAGCTACGGAGGCAGCAGTTCCAGCGCTAATCTGGTGCCCACTCCTTTGATGGGCAAACACCAGCAGAGTCAATTTAACTTTCCCAATGTGACGGTGACTGGTAGTGGTGGAAGTAGTGCAGGGGACACTCTTATCTCCAACGAACCTGAAGCGGACCAAGCTCCTCCGCCACCCATAACCGCCAATGGAGGTCTGGACAGTCTGGTGAACAGCTCCAACGGGTACATGAGCTCCCTTATCGGAAGCCAAACCTCAAATGCTTCGAGTGCCGCCACCGTGACCGAAAGCCTGGTCAACAGCACTACTACCACTAGCACTAGCAGCTTCTTCCCGCGCAAATTAAGCACAGCCGGAGTGGATAGAAGAACGCCCTTCACCAACGACTCTACGGACACGCACAAGTCGAATGATAGCGACAAAACCGTCTCCCTGTCAGGAAGTGCCAGCACAGACTCGGACCGGACTCCCGTTCGAGTGGATTCCACGGAGGATGGCGATTCGGGACAGTGGCGCCAGAACTCAATTTCACTGAAAGAGTGGGATATCCCGTACGGGGACCTACGTCTACTTGAGCGGATCGGACAAGGACGTTTCGGCACCGTGCATCGAGCCCTGTGGCACGGAGACGTGGCTGTGAAGCTGCTAAATGAAGACTACCTGCACGACGAGCACATGCTGGAGACGTTCCGCAGCGAAGTGGCTAACTTCAAGAAGACGCGACACGAGAATCTGGTGCTTTTCATGGGTGCCTGCATGAATCCGCCATATCTGGCCATCGTTACTGCGCTGTGCAAGGGCAACACCCTGTACACGTATATTCATCAGCGCCGAGAGAAATTCGCCATGAATCGGACACTGTTAATCGCCCAACAGATCGCCCAGGGAATGGGTTACCTGCACGCCCGCGAGATCATCCACAAGGACCTGCGCACCAAGAACATCTTCATCGAGAATGGCAAGGTCATCATCACCGACTTCGGCCTGTTCAGCTCCACCAAGCTGCTCTACTGTGATATGGGCCTGGGGGTGCCCCACAACTGGCTGTGCTACCTGGCGCCGGAGCTCATCCGAGCGCTGCAGCCGGAGAAGCCGCGCGGCGAATGCTTGGAGTTTACCCGTTTCTCCGATGTTTATTCTTTTGGAACGGTGTGGTACGAACTGATTTGCGGCGAGTTTACATTCAAGGATCAGCCGGCGGAATCGATTATCTGGCAAGTAGGACGTGGAATGAAGCAATCACTGGCCAACCTACAGTCCGCACGAGATGTCAAGGACCTCCTGATGATGTGCTGGACCTACGATAAGGAGCATCGCCCGCACTTTGCCTATCTACTGACACGTCTGGAACAGCTACCGAAGAAGCGGCTAGCGCGGAGTCCCTCGCATCCCGTCAACCTCTCCCGATCCGCGGAGTCCGTCTTCTGAGCGAGCTGCCGCGTCCTCCCTGGCTACTATTGTTGCATTCTAGTAAAATTACGACCGTATACTAAGCTAGCTCGCTCTCTTTCCAAAAGGTAAACTCTTCTAGGCAAACTCTAAACTGTGCTAAGCAAGCGATTATTGTAAATATTTAAAAACGTAACTAACAAATTATAGCAAAAAGATTTTAAACCATAAATTATGTACATGAACGCATATATCGAATGCAATCCAGTTTCAGTTGTTGTGAGCAAAACAAAACAAAAAAAAAACATAATGAAACAAAGGCAACACAAATGTTAACTCGAAAAAGACAAACGTTTAAATCTTAGAGCCGAGGCGAAACCGAGAAGGTCTAGACATAAAACAAGCAAACAACCAAGCACTGTGGCAAATACATATGTATATCTGTAAACGTTAATCAGGTGAGCAATTTCTATATTGTTAATTATGTGTAAGCAAAGCTCTATCCATATATGTACGTATGTGTGTACACGGAAGTGTATTTGAGAGATTAGTGTTTAAATAAATATACTTGTATTGTGCATTATGTATGGTCGACTGTATATAGCAATCGGAGTTAAAACGAGAAATCAAGCAAAATGTCAAATAAACTTATCACTAAAGCCAAATTAACTGGAACAATGTTTGCACTGGGACTGGGAATACGATTCGAAAAGTGTCGGGTATAGCTCAAAGCCAGGGCTCATTTGTAGAGGTGAAGACACATTGGAACTTTTTGATAACCAAACAGACGTATTTGGTTTCCCAACATATTAAATTCATATTTTGCCTTTTTCACTTACCCCATATTGATCATGGCCACGCAAGGAATTGACAATTGCTGCCCCAATTAGATGCTGCAAAAGAGGCAGCCGAGATCCCAGGGGTGAATCCATGGCCAGGTGAAGTTGCAGGGAAAACATTGCACAACCCAAGGGACTAAGCCACTGAAAAGAAATATTTTAAATAATTGAATTAAACAAATAAATCTTAACTCCGAAATAAGTGATGGAATATTAACCTGATTATTACTTCGGCCAACTCCTGCTGTCTGTTGCAGGGGAAGCACAGCCAGGCCATTAATGAGCTCCAGATGGTTAATGACATGCATAGAGCTGCTGACTACCGGTGCATAAATAACCAGGCGTCCAATGTGCTCTGTTTTCAGATGCTGTAGTAGTAGAAATAGAATTATAACTGCACTATAATCTATTATTAACGCTCTCACATCGAAGTAGTCGACGGTGGAAAAATCGTCCGGACAGGAATGTATAAGAATCGGTAGGACATTGTTGTTGGCCACTGGTGGCTTGTCATCCTTGCTACAGAATTTGAGTGTCAGCTTGGGAGTTGCTATGACATTATCGCTTCCACTGCAACGCAGGCGCAACTTCTCTAGGAGCTCGAACTTCGACTATGGAAAGAGAACGATGAGAAAGCTGGTACATAAATCCTATTTGATATTTACCTCATGGCGTCCCAGAAAATAGGCGTGTTGATAGACCACTCCTGGTTTAGACTGATCAATGCCCTCACCTCCCTGAACCAGCACATCCAAGTATTTGTTCAAGAGATCCGCAAAGATCTCGAGGCGAGTGCGTTCGTTTTGCTTCAGGATGGAGTACTTGGTTTCATCGGACTCAAACTCACTGGGACTGGTTTCCAAATGAACCTAATATGAATAGGAAAATTAATATTTGCAAAAATTTAACATTCATTTAATTTCTCTTGTACCTGTGAGAAGACCGCCTTGCCGCCGCTGTGCAGGCTATGGGCCAGCATCAAGCTGGGCGTGTTCCAGGTCTCCTCGGTGCCCAGCACCTGGACGTCCAGTTTGTGGATGTTACCGGCCAGATCCTTCAGTTCCATAGACCTTGGACATACTAGAGCTCTGAGCAGCGTTTCGTGGTTTGATTTTGGTTTTGTTTTTTTTTTTTTTTTTTTGGTTTATGTTTTTTTTATATTTTTGTTAATGATAGGTAGGATTATAATAGTTATGATAGCACACAAATAGAAGCACACATAGAGGTAGATAAAGAATGGACAGGTAAAGTGGAGATCACGCAGACACAATATGGGTAATCGGAGAGTGAGTCAGGAGAGTCAAGCAGAGGAATATATTTGACGAAATTAAATATAATAGATAATTCATTCATATGCTCAAAAAATTGTGGAATAATATTGATTAAATTCAAATTAAGTGGGAATAAGTCACAATGAAAGCACAATTGATTATGATGCACATCGAATTAAATAGAAAAGAAGCCATATACAGGGGAAACGAGGCCAATTTGAGCATGAAATATTTGAGAAAATGGGAATTGGAATTAATTAGAAATTTTAATAGCACGATTATTTTGAAATAAGTAAGGAAATACATTTTAAGAAATTAAGCTTTAAAGAACCAAAATTCATTATATATTAATATTATTTAGATGTCTAGTATGAAATATTTAATTTAATAAAAATTTTAACAGTCTAAACTAACCTGTGGTACCACAGGAATATTTACGGTTTTGATTATGAGTGAGCTTTAATTATTCTTATTCTTGATAGACGACTAACCCAATATATTCATGAAGTATTACATTTAATTATTTAAAAACCTAAAGTAAGCTTTTCCACTAAAATGTATTTTCCCTTGGAATGTTTAAAGAGCATATTGCTTCCGGTTAAGTGTAGAAAACATGCAAAATACAGGATTCCAGTATACTCTTAACTTATTATACGGTTATTTCTCAATCAAAGAGATAGGCAGAATTAGCTATATGTTTTAGGGGCTGTCAGTCTGCTGCTTTTCAATGTGTTTTGGGAAACACAGTGGAACTAACTTACGGTTTGCGAGAATGTGATTTGGTCGACTCCTCGCTGTCGGTAGAGAAGTGCTTCTTCACGGGCGAAGGCTGGTAGCAGAAGATGTGGTGCATCATCTTGACCCTATGCCACTTGTCGTAGGAGAACTGAACCAATTCGTGCTCACGCACCTAGAGAAGAAGATCCCATGTTAAATATTAAACTCTCTTTTTTGTTTTAATTTAAGGAAATGTTTCATATAAGCTTTTATCTCACCTCCGCCGTGCGGTAATTTGGCAGGATAAAGTGCAATATGTCCGAGCATAGGCTGAGTACTTTGCCGCCCTGCAGAAAGTAGTCCACCAGTATCTGCCCAATTCCTGGTGCCACCGAGCCGCAGACTACCAACAGTGCAGTGTGCTCCGTCCAGTGCTTCTGAGCGGCCTGCTGTGGCATAAGCGGATAGATAGTATACACATTTCGTTCCAGCAGCTGCTGCAAAGTGGCCAGTGTGGACTCCCGGGCACTGGCACTGTCGGAGTAGACCAAAACATTGAGAGGCTTACTTTCCTGCAGGCTGTCTTTATTGCGACGTAACACGGGTCGTGATGACGGTGTAGCTCCAGCTGCTGGTGGCGAATTCAAAGGCTTTGCTACCTCAAACGTTTTGGTGGCTTTCACGGGCTCAGAAGCTGCTGAAGATTTGACAGGTTCAATGCCTTTACTAGGTGTACTTGACGTTGCCAAGGGAACAGCCTTTTTAGGAGTGATTTCTACTTTCTCTGCCTTCTGCAGTTGCGCTGCCTGAGCAGCCGCTAGCTTCTCCAATTCGCTCGGCTTCGACTCTTTACTAGGAGTAGATTTGGAATCTTCTTTGGTGGGCAAGCTCTTGCTTTTATCAGGTGTTGTTTTGATCTCGCTCTTAGCGGGAGTTGTCTTGGCCTCGCTTTTCGTAGGAGAAGATTTAACATCATGTTTTGTTGGGGTGACCTTTCCCTCGGTTTTAGGCGAACTTGTTGCGACCCTTGCCGGCGACAGAGAAGCCTTATTAGTAGGTTCCACCACGGCCACCGCCTTGACAACGGGCTCAGAAGACTGACGATGATCCAGCGCTAGAAGATCTGATTTTGACTTTCCCTCGGAGCGATTACGTTGACATTCGAACTCTGTAGCCTGGTGGGCAAGTACACCGACTGCTCGCAAATCCTCCAGGTGCTTTTTCCAGCCCTCCTTGTCCAGTTCCGAAGTTGTCCGGGACTGTCGCTTGAGGTGCTTGGCCAACAACTCGAAGGGCTGCGGATCCCCTTCCCGCTGCACCGCTGGAAACGAGACAAATGCACATTAATTGACATATAATGAAGATGACTTGTTTCAGGGACGATATTTCATTTCCAGCTTACACTCAATCCGCATCAGTGGCAGCTGATCGTTAATGCATAAATTATTTCGCAAAAATGTCGTTATCAACAGTTGTGTGAAGTGCTCTACATCGGTCTCGATGAGCACCGCCAGGTGGGAGTCTATTTTCCATGCAATTAGCTTACCGTAATCTTCCAGCTGATTCATGGACAGGCGTCATGCAAGAAGAAGAAACGGAAGAAGAAAAGGTGACACTTGGTTAACAGCAGCTCTTTGACGCCAGCTCTATATCGATTAAACTATTTCTTGGGCTGGTTACATCCTAATCACATTACCGCACGCAACACCACCAACATTGTGGTAGTCTTCAGCGCGAAATTTATTACACTAAACATAAAAGACAACCTTTCTGACCCTTTTACGATGATTGGATGGCGTTCGGGACTTAAAGTAAAAGTATCCTTTCCATACATATGTGTAAATATATATGTTGATGTTAACATAAGCCTATAATTATTAATATATGTATGTATATAATTGAAATCTCTTGCAAATGTATCAAAAAGTAGGCAACCAAATATTTCCAGAGCTTTGTAATGCAATTTCTAAACTAATCTCTTCTGACAAACGACATAATCTACCTCCATGCACATGAATACGTAAAATAAGCCCAAAAACCACCTCCCAAAACTCACCCGGACGGCTGTGGTGTCCTGCAAGCCCGGTCGGTGCAGTGGTTCTACCTGCGCCTCCAAAAGCAGCTGCATTCTACGCTCGCCCTCTTTGGCTAGCGACACCCGCTGCTTCAGCGGAGTGTCCGAATCGGTCGGTGTGCTCACTGGGGTCAACGTGTCGGCAGCATACGCGAAGGGCAGCAAGCTGGGAGCGGCCGGAAAGCTAATCCAGGGCGTGATGTGGAGCGTCTGCAGGGGACGTAGGCAACAACCTCGTTGGTTGCCGTACAGCCACAGGATGTCGGTGACCTTGGCCGCGTTGCGGTTGCCGCAAAGCTCAGAGCTGGCCAGCGCGGGATCTGCGGGAAAGTAAACGGTACATATAGCCTTATCAGATTCCAGGGAACACCAAACTTACCGAAGCCATCGTCGCTCCCAGCCTGGAGGGCATAGAAGGCTATGCTTGAGGGCTGCGCCAGGTGCTCGGCGATCTTTGAACAAGCCTTCTGGATGCGCCAGGACTGCAGGACGGTGGCGCTCACGTAATACAGGGTCAACATCTTGTCGATGGGAGCTCTGACCTAAGCCCTATTCCATCCGACGCTCCGAAAATCAATTGCGGTTTCGTAATTTGCACCTCTTCGGCAGAAAGGGAATCGGAATCGGAAGCGGAATATCGGTTGCTATGGCCAGCAGGAGCGCTCAGCGCCGTTTTCAGCGAGTTGACACACTTTTCGCATTCCCTTGCTTCACTGACATTTATTGTTGATTACTGCATTCCACTAACTGCACACCCACACAGGCACAGACACAGCCGGAGCTTTATCCCGAAATTTTTGTCTGATAAGAAAGCGCGGCAGGCGTTTACAGTGATGTCAACTTGGCTGCTTTCCAGCCAGATCTGACGGGGTTTGTGTTGGAATAAGTAACTGTAGTCCTGAATTCATAATACATTTGTTTCGATTATAATTATTTAATTGGAGCACTTTAATTAAAAAGTTGAATCAAATACTTTTCCTTTGCTTTTAGTTTATTTGTATTAACTATTTATTTTACTTATTTATTTCATGAATATCACTGCCGCCTGCTTCTTCTATTCACCGGCATTTTGCCATTCCGTGCGCAGGCAACACAAGCCGATTGCCATTCACCCACCACGTCGCTTGGAATTGTTTTCAATTAGCAAACTTATTCTAAATAAAAGTACTTAAGCCGAGTTGCGTTGCTCTAGTGGCCACGAAAGCGGCATGCTGTTGGGCGAATACGACACGACCCGGCGCCTCCTTTTTATTGTGGCCGTTCTGCTGATTGTTTTGTATGCGAAGACGTATCTGCTGCCCGGCGTGGATCTGGACTACGACTAGCAACGGCTTGGACAGTGGCCCGCGGAGCTTGAGCAGCGATGACGGACAGACGGGTCTCCTACTTCTACAATGCAGACGTGGGTAACTTCCACTATGGAGCCGGTCACCCGATGAAGCCTCAGCGCCTGGCGGTAACACACAGCCTGGTGATGAACTATGGCCTGGACAAGAAGATGAAGATCTACAGGCCGTACAAGTGAGTGGTTCTTGCCGAGATGCGTTTCTTTCTGGGTTACAAAAGGTTTCTTCTTACAGGGCCAGCGCCCAGGACATGCTGCGCTTCCACAGCGACGAGTACATAGCCTACCTTCAGCAGGTGACTCCGCAGAACATTCAGTGCAATTGTAAGTGGACTGTATAGAATGTAATGACCTTTCAGTCCCACATTAGTAGCACCTATTTAATACAGTTTAAATATGCAAAATTCAGTTTTAAAAGAACACTTAAAATACAAGAAATTAGGCCGGAAATATTTACATTATTCATTAATCTAATTTGTTTTCTGAATGCAAATTATTGAGAATTTATTAGAATATATACTATCCTTTTCGCTTTCAGCCGTGGCCTATACCAAGTATCTTGCCCACTTTAGCGTTGGCGAGGACTGTCCCGTGTTCGATGGCCTCTTCGACTTCTGCGCTATGTACACGGGCGCTTCGCTGGAGGGAGCCCAGAAGCTGAATCATAATCACAGTGACATCTGCATCAATTGGTCTGGCGGACTGCACCATGCCAAGAAATTCGAGGCGAGCGGCTTCTGCTACGTGAACGACATCGTGATTGGCATCCTAGAGCTGCTCAAGTATCATCCGAGAGTGCTATACATCGATATTGACGTGCACCACGGCGATGGAGTCCAGGAAGCCTTCTACCTCACGGATCGAGTAATGACTGCCTCGTTCCACAAATACGGCAATTACTTCTTCCCGGGAACGGGAGACATGTATGAGATTGGCGCGGAATCGGGTCGATACTACAGTGTCAATGTACCACTCAAGGAAGGCATCGATGATCAGAGTTACTTCCAGGTTTTCAAGCCCATAATCTCGGCTATAATGGACTTCTACCGGCCAACGGCCATTGTCCTACAGTGTGGTGCAGATTCGCTGGCCGGAGATAGACTTGGTTGCTTCTCTTTGAGCACAAAAGGACATGGGGAATGTGTCAAGTTCGTGAAGGAGCTAAATGTTCCCACCCTGGTCGTTGGAGGCGGCGGCTATACCCTACGTAACGTGGCACGCTGCTGGACGCACGAAACGTCGCTGCTGGTGGATCAGGATATAGAGAACGACCTGCCTGCCACAGAGTATTATGACTTCTTCGCCCCCGACTTCACCCTCCATCCAGAGATTAACTCCCGCCAGGATAATGCAAATTCCAAGCAGTATCTTGAGCTCATCGTGAAACACGTTTATGAAAACCTCAAGATGTGCCAGCACTCGCCCAGCGTTCAAATGGTACAAACTCCGCCTGATGTGGACTTGGAGGAGCTTCGCAATAACAGGGAGGAGGCCGCCGATCCCGATGTGCGCATGTCCCAGGCCGATGAGGATAAGATGGTGGACGCCAAGAACGAGTTCTACGATGGCGACCAGGACCAGGACAAGCCTGATTCGGCGGAGAGTTAGATTACGTTTAGGTATACTAAGGATTTGTGTTAAGTGTAATCGGTAAATAAGAGCAGACGGTTAGATTTTAACTTAATCCGAGACTACTTAATGGGAAATTAGGTAAACTGAAACAGATTTGCTTTTAAAATCGACAGACACACATGTATTTGAGATGATTAATGGTACTTATTAGGAGGATTACTATAACGACGTTGCTGGTCGATCGCTTGAAGATCACCATCCAGTCGTGGTGTTGGCCAGTCGTCGCATTCGTCGTGTGTTGCGGTCCTGATCGCGGATTTTCTTCTCCATCTCGGCGTCGGTAAGCGTCTCTAGGAATGGGGCCCACGCGTCGGCATCGCTGGGATTTCGGAACGGTACATCGATGGTGGAGAGCGGGGCCTCGCTGAACGCATACGTGCGACAGTGCCAGGAGAGCTGGCCCCGGATGCTGTAGGCAATGGCTGTCACAAATTCACCTCCCAGCCCAAGCTCTGCACACAGCTTGATTGCGAACTCCTCAGGATTGTTGTTCTTCTCGGACATGTCCCACTCGACCTGGTCGACAAGTGAGGTATTGCCCACGTGAATGTTTAGTTTGACGATGACACGTTGGTCACAGCTCTCCTCGAGAATAGGCGGGTCATTTGGGAACGCCTCGATTTGCTGGCGGATGGCCTGAGCTATAGCCGGTACGAAGGGTATCGGATTAAGGTCTAGGTCATCGCAGAGCACCTCCGCGAACTGTTCCGGGGTGATCATGCTCTCGTTCTTGTTCCAGGTGAAGGTGTCGCGCAGCTTTTGCCCCTCCAGCTCCATGTCCAACCGAATGGGCACGAGGCACTCCTTCTGCGCCGCATTCTCCAGGCTCGCTGTGGGATCTGTGTCATCAAAGCACATAGGAAACGTGCGCACCTTTTTCGTGTGCACTCGGTTACGGTTAATAGGCGTGGCCTGTGGCACTGCGTCCAGGTGGCTGGAGTTGGGCATCGTGGGCACATACTGCGGCTGCTTCTTTGATTTGCTCTCCCGCGGCACAGGCGTGTCCGAAGTGTTTACCGAAACGGCGCGGTACCTGGAACGACGTTTCATATTAAAAATTAATTATTCTGACTTAAAGACGGCTGCCAATTTTGACAGGAAAACTTGGTAGCGATGGTTGCAATGGTGCCACCAACTTGAAATCAATTGGAAGACGTTTCATTTTGTAGCATACTTTTGGACAACATTTTAATTGAGTTTAAATTCACAGCGATTTCGTGGGAAACGTCTTTTCAAAATTGTAATTTTGATCGAAGTTTTTCATATCGTTTTTAAGAGTTCTTTACAATTTGCGAATGTTTATTTTGTGTTTCCTCACTCACTTTTCATCGTTGCCGGCCATAATGTCGTCTACCTCCACGGCGCGAAGCAGTGAAACAGAACTGGCCAGGATGTGGGAGCTAAGGCCGGAATCGGCCAGCCGCTTGCGTTCCTCATTGGACAGAACGATTCTCGTCATTCCCGGGTACTTCTTGTAGAGGATGCCGCGGAAGTGCCGCATGTAGTTGCCCACCTCAGAGCCCACGTAGTAGTACTCGCCGCCCTCCTCCAGCTGGAAGGCCACCGGCTTGTCCCCGTAGGTCTGCAGGGCCATCTTGAGTCGGTATTCTTCCTGTTTTTCCTTTGAAACACAGATTCTCCTCGGGATTGGTTCTTATTTTTCAGACTACCAATTTTCTTGCCGCATACACAAACACAGACATGGACATGGCGTCTATCGCGGAAGTGTTGGAAAATACCGGACACATTAACGCAATTCAGTGATATCCATAAAAAAGGCTAAACTTATAGCCAAAAACGCACAGAAAAATTAAAAGCATTTATGTTGTATAGCAATGTTTGGAGAAAAATAAGATTTACATTAATTGTTTTAATATAATTAAGAAAAGTTTTTGAATTAAAGAAGGGAGGAAAACATCGCAGTTTGTATACTCTTGCAGATTGCAATTCGATCCTTGATAATTATTACAATATAAAACAACGAAGTAATGCCTACTTTCATTACATTCACAATTTTTGCATTTCCTTCTACAATCCTCAACGATCGTTTCTTTGACAGCAATGTATATATAGTCGCCCAATTGTCATGAAATTAAAACCGAAATTCTGAAAAAAAAAAAAAATAATAAGAAGTGTCTATTGCTAAGAGGAGATGAACATATGTTGCAAAACAACGAAGTTATTATTTAATTAATATAACAATAATTTCACGAAGAATTCTATGTCTGCTGTATAATATATTAGGCCCATTTTCATAAAATTTACTTTGAAATTGTATAAGACTAAAAAAATATATTTGAAAAAAAAAAAAAAAAACCAAACTAGATTAAAATATGTTAAAAACTGGAACGATATATTTTTTGCTCCGGTCGTTTCTATTGCGACTATATATATAATATAGTCGTTCAATCCGTCCGTTGCGACATACATATAATGAGAGTTTGGGTAGCTTCAAAATTGAGATACTAGTTTGCCTAGAATCGGGCAGACCGACGTGTCTAGATCAACTCTGCTGTTGATGCTGAACATATATACTTTATACATATATACTTTATAATGATTCCTTCATTGCGTTGCACGCATGTGACTAAACTTATAGTACCCTGTAGGGGCTTTATTAAAATTATTTAGATTCAGTCCAGCTATTGTGCCATCACTGCCATTCCATCACCAACACAACGCCTAACGGCGCTATCCAACACTAATTCACATGCTCTGCCGGACAATTCGTTAATTATTTTTAAGATCAACATAAAGATGTCCTTTTTACGCAGTGCTGCTGGTTTTCTGGCGCTCACTAGGTCTCTCGGAGGCCCACCAACAGGTAAACAATCCTCGACCACTCGATTCCAGTCACTAAACTTGTTTTCCCGGCAGTGCAAACACGCCGCCACATTAAGCGATGGGTTTCGCCAACGTTACGTGAGCTAGCCCACCGACAGCAGAAACTGGGGCCACAGAAGCCGGAGCCGCGTTCCGGATTTGTGGAATGGAACCAGCGCTCAGAGCTGTTCGCCTTCGGCAAGCGGTTGGGTGAATCCTTTGAAATGGCCTTGCTGCAACGCGCATTTATAGAGAGATCCTATGCTCACCGCGAAGAAGAGAAACGACGTAAGCTGGGCATCGAGGAGGCAGACCTTCAGATAGCGGACAACAGCGATCTGGCGCAGAAGGGCCAGATCATAGCCCGTGCATATGTAGATGCTTTCCTGCAGCACCAATTGCCCAAAGTCCCGAAAGAAGGACTCCAAGCTATTGCCAGCTATTTGCTCGGCACAAACACGCTTGCGCACGTCTCCAGCCATCTGGGCACAAAGGACCTGATCCACTCCACAGAGTACCCGCCATCTGCGGAAAGTCTGGCACAATCCCTGCAGGCGGTGATTGGAGCTCTGGCAGATTCCAGCGGCGTAGAGCGGGCTTTCCTTTTCGTGCGTGACTTCATCTGCACTCAGCTAAACCAGAAAGATCTGCTCGATGTGTGGACCCCGGAGGAACCTCTCCAGCTGCTCGAAAAGATCTGTCAGGAGCGAAAACTGGGAGATGCTGAACCTCGCCTGATCGGAGATTGTGGAAAAAATACGGTCCTGGCCGCTTACCAAGTGGGCATCTACGCTAACCGCCAGCTGTTGGGGAAAGGATTTGGTGAGGACCTTAAAACGGCCACAGAGACCGCGGCCATTGACGCCTTGCAGAGCCTTTTCGACACCCACGACAATCGGAGACCTTTCGATTTCAGAGTCCAGCTGGAAACAAAAAACGTACGACTAGGTTAAGGAACGGAAACGGAACGGAACTGGTCTGCGTCCTTGTTGATTTTTGTAATTTGAACTAAACACATGTACGCATGCATTGTCAGAGAAGATTGCGTTTTAAAAATCATTTAACTACGGGTTAACAACTCTCTCCTAGTCACGATCGTCGCGCTTGCTATCGTCCGTGTCTTGGTGGCCGTGGGTGTTGGGCGTAACCGATGTGGACGGTCCCATATCATCCGGCTTGCTTTCCAAGGAGAAGGGCGGAATTTTACAATCGAAGGAGTAGCCATCCTCGCGCTCTAGTCGGAAGGTACCCCACATATGGCCACTGGGCGCCTGCAGACTGACGTGGCTGCTGTACTGGAAGGCAGGCAGTCGTGGGCTGAGGATGGGTTCCTGGCCCACCACGCCTCTGCCGCGCACCGTCTCCAAAGTTCCAGACAGCGAAAATATGCGCCAGTGCCGTTCCCGCAGCTGCACGCTTGCCTTGCCGAGGTTTTCAAGTCGGATGCAATATCGCCACTGAAAAAATGTTCGATTGGATAAGTTTTACAACATCTTGAGCGACTTTAAAGATGTCCCTGCTCACCCAGTATACCGAGCTAGCTGGTGTCTCACGGCAGCCCATATAAAAGGGGATGACTGTGATCCGCACGTTCTCCGTGGTTTCCTTGTGTACATCACTCATATCCAGCCATGGGTGGTTCTTCTCCTGCCACGCCTTCAGCGTGTCCTGACCCACAAACGGTGGATCGGCGTCCGGGGCGTGCGTAAGGAACTTGTCGAACAGCTCGTGTTGTAGTGGATTCTTTTCGCTGGAACTGTAGGGCATAATGTCCTCGTGGGACACATAGTCAAGACCAGGGATTGCGTAGAGACTTCGATTAGAGTCCTGGTTGCCCAGAAAGGTCACCGCTTCGGTCTGAGCACGCTGTAAAATGGAGAAGTATGTGAGCAGAAGGGACATAACTAATTGGAAGCTCTTACAATGTGCGGACAGTCGCGGGTATCGATGAGGACCTGGTAAAAGGTTTGCACTTTGCCCTTAACCTCCTTCGGATCAGCCTGAGTCGCGGCATCTACGTTTCTGGTGGTTGTCACGATTGGCGCATTAGTCAGATAGGCGGTTGCAGTATTGCCATCTGCACTGCTGGCCTCCGGCGGAGTTGAGGTGCTGGTCTTAACCCTGAGCGAGGCTTCTTTGGTGCGTTGCGGTTGTGGCGGAGTTGGTGCTGTCGCCGTGGCGTTGACCTTGCTCGGGTTATGCAGGTCCCGATCATAAACGCGTGCCGTCCAGGGGAAGAGGATGACTCCGCGGTAGCCGAAGATGCGATGCAGGAAAAGCTGTCCGGTTTCGTAACGGTCATCGCGGGCCTCCACTAGGCGGCCCACCTCAGCAAGTCTGCAATTAGGGAGTTATGCAATGTTCCAGAGGACTCAACAGGACTTTTCGCTCGGCCGGACTTCACTCACTTGGTCGGGTTTACCGCTTGCTTCTTAACTGTCCGCCTTAGCATAATATCGCACTGCTGAAGAAGACGCCATCGCTTATCCCACTTGAACACTTGTACCATCAAGCCCATCGCGGCGCATCCAAAGTTCGCCGGGAGCGGGGAGCACCTCTTGGCTTCGCTGTCTCGGAGGGGAAACTGCGGGATTTATGCAACGATCTGCAATCTGTGGCTTCTGCTACTGCTGACGCTGGGTTCTCGCGTTAGCTTCTGTTCAATGAGGCATGTGTGCTTTAAAATTTTGTATGTGTTCTCTAATATCTCGACATTGTTATGAAAAATTTTATTTTGTTTTCGGCACTGGAAAAAAAAACACTAGGCCGAGTTCGATTTTCCGATAACAGTATTCGATTGCACGATTACTAATTTATATCAAATAAATCATAATATATGTAAATATATGATGATATTTTTTGTTTTAATTTAAAGCAATGTCATTTTTATCTAATACGTTCATTTCTGTATCGCGTCCACATTCATAGTTATCAAGTACTGACTAGGGGAAAGATCAGGTTACTTTGGTGACTACCTATGTATTTCAAGAACTTATAACTACCAAAATTAGTTCAAAACAATTTTGTTATTAAAAACCATATAAATTAGACTACACAATAATTCAAAACCATTTAATTATTTTCGAATGCAAAATTAGAAACAAAAACAATAAGCAAACGAAGAATTTGTCCTGGAAAATACAAGTATTTTCTACTGCATTTGTTGATCCCTATCTATTTTTTTTTAAGTCATATATTTCTGTTATTTGAGTAATTATTAAATTAATTAAACAACTGTAGAACTTAGGAATGAACGCTTTTAATTTATTTAAAACGGGAAAATAAATAATTAAAATAAGAATGATATATAAATAGTACTGAATCAATACATTTTACTTCCAACAAGAGTATTGTACTCATGTGTCTTTAAACATGTAAAATGCTTAACGAGAGAGATGTAAAATAACACACATTTTACCATAACATCGATAGTACAATAAATAATTTAAAAAAAGTCGATAGTATCAATAGTGCTTGGTCACACTGAATGTGCTCCGTCTCCCTCTTTCGCCATTTGACAGATTTCCGGTACGTACGCGATTTTTCGTTGGCCGCCGAGAAAACACAAAAATAAGCCCGATAATGCGTGAATCGCTTGAAAATAGTGCTGCGGGGGTTCTGCCGAATATGTGTGCTACGTGCGCAACCAGTTGTGGAGTGTCGAAATTGTGTTTAGCTGTGCGATGTCACCGGCTGAAAAAATCAAAACAAATGCCCCAACTGGTTGCGAGTAGTGGTGAATGTGAATACATGCAATGTGAATAATGAAAACCTTTTCTGATCCGCAGTTAAGCCATGGCCGACTCACAAGCCAAGACCGCTGCTGCGCCCAAGGCCGCCAAGGCCCAGAAGGCTCCTAAGGCTGCCAAGGCACCCAAGGCCGAGAAGCCCGCCGCCACCGAGGCTAAGGTTTCCGCCAAGAAGTACAAGCGCCACGGCCGACTCTTCGCCAAGGCTGTCTTCACCGGCTACAAGCGCGGCCTGAGGAACCAGCACGAAAACCAGGCCATCCTCAAGGTAAGATATCCACCGGCTCAAGGGAACTGAAAGGATGTCGCCACAATCGCTCTATTCAACTATGGAAACTGTTGGGGGTATTAGGATATCTAGGGGTTTGACCATGCAAGAGTATAATGCGGAAATATCCAAATCTGGGTAAAGGATTCGTGTTACCTTTAATTTTAAAGCGCAGTTTATTAGCCTGCTATAGGCCGATAAGTTGGAAGGACCTTCAAAGTTTTTAACTTTTCCAATCTGATTGTTAAACTCCTAATTAGGAACTTGAATAATCTTGTAGTTTTTGGTTTAGTTCAAAGCAAGTTAACCAGTAAATATGAATAGGAATAGAATAGGAAATTAACAGACATTTTACAATAACAACAAAAACTTAGTTGTTAAATCTATACTGTAGAGTTTCAAATCATTTTGAGTTTACAAATTGAGCTAAAAACCACTGTTTGAATTATATTAAGTCATACTAAATTGTCGTTTCCTTACAGATTGAGGGAGCCCGCCGCAAGGAGCACGGAGAGTTCTACGTTGGCAAGCGTTGCGTCTACGTCTACAAGGCAGAGACCAAGAAGTGCGTGCCACAGCATCCCGAGCGCAAGACCCGCGTCCGCGCCGTCTGGGGCAAGGTCACCCGCATCCATGGCAACACTGGCGCCGTGCGTGCTCGCTTCAACAGGAACCTGCCTGGTCACGCCATGGGACACCGCATTCGCATCGTAAGTTTGGTCCTCAGCTGTTGATCCTAGCAATACTCTAAACTTTCACCTTCTTCTTTGCAGATGCTGTACCCATCAAGGATTTAAGTTAAAAATGAACTTAAGTTACTGACCTGCAGATAAAAAAATCCGTTTTATAATAAATGAAACAATTTAAATTTAATTACAACAAAACTGTGTTTCACTCATTGAGGAAACTTGGAGAAGAATTATTTAAAAAAATCGTAATTTTTAAAACTTGTGCGAGATATTTAAAGCTAAATTTGATTCCAGTGAATAAATTTGTAATCGATGAAAACTGAAAATGTATTAATTTCTATTCGGAAATTTGTTTTCACTATTTTTTGTTAGGTTCATGAAGAATATTGAATTACAATTTTTTAAAATTAAATTGGCAAGTTTATTGACACGGCTGGATCTACTTTTTAGTTTACTATAATCAAGAATATATGTACATATATTATTTTTGGGGTCGAAAATAGGTCTTTTAGTGCCTTACAATCTTCTAACAAACTGTTGATTACACTGCAAGGGTACAAAAATATATGTATATAAAATATATGATTTTGCTAAATAAAAGATACTTTATTTAATTTTTTAACTTAAGAGTTTCTAAAAAAGCATACCGAGCTACTGTTGTACGCAATATTTCTATATCTAATTGACAGATTTGGCGCCACATTTTTCTAATTATAGGTAAAATTATTTTGAAAGCATTAATTTTTATCTCTTTTTTGTTATTTATTAATTATATATTGAACATATTAAAATAAAATTCGCCTTATAGCAACTAATTTAAATTTTATTAATATCGCAGCTTAAAATCATCTACGTGCTCAAGAAAAAAAACAATAATTTTTGACGATTTTATGTTGTCTTTTTTTATTTACAAAGGAATTATGCATAGTCTAGATATATAAAAATATTACAATAAAAAAAAAATTTAAGACGTAATATTTTTATGCATACACAAATATCTGCATATTGTTTTGTAGCTAGTTTTGACTCTGCCTCGATAGCGAAAACTTTAATTTGATATACGGGTCTCAATATGTTTTAAAATTCTTCCCCAATGTAGAGGTTGTAAAGATTAGCCTTACAAATGTTGTCAATTAATGGATTTTTGAATAATAAATATAATAATAATATATAATAATTAATTTAAAAAATGTTTCACTTTTTATTTGTTAATTATTTATTTATGTTTTTTAGCTGAAACTGTTTTACTGTTCACCAATTTGGTCTATGTATATATATGTACATGTTACTTAAACAAAAACGTTTTAACTGATTTTCACTGTATCTTGGTATTTTATCCAATGACGAAATAAAAGCCAAAGTTTTGTCACCCGCTGTTTGGTAATCGATGCCACCTGAAACGCGGTCACACTGCTCCAATCAGCAGCGTGTTGCGGGCCAATCGAAAGAAAAACAACTTAAGTTTTACGAATTTAGTACAAATTAGTTAGTTAGATTGCAATTATTTGCTCCGGGCGCGATCGGGAGTTATGCGGAGATGTGCGTCGACCTTGCCGGGTGCCACTGCCGCTGCTGTTCCACCGCCACCGACGCCAGAAGTGCGTCAACACGTCACCGCTGCCGTTCGAGCCAATTAGAAGACCGAAGCCCACTTTTGCATTCCGCGAACCGTCGATCGGCCCTAGATAACGATTACGTATATATGCGCGTATGATGGGCATGCAGGATGACCTGGACGGCATCGTGAGGCACCGGCGTCGCAACCTAAGCCTCCTGCAGCTGGTTGCTCTTACCATGGCGGGCTTTGTGGCCTTAAATCCTCACCACGTTAGGGCGCAGTCGAGTGACTCGGAGCTTCAGACAGCGGGTTCCTCGACTCCTCCAGCCCTGACGCACTGTGTTGAGCAGGAAGAGCGCCGGATCGGACGTAGGTATGTAGTAATAGCATAAAGAACGAAGAAGAAGCAGAGTGCGTTATGTGTGTGACCCTTTTGTTATGCATTCTGGTGAAAATGTTCTCGAACGTTCGCAGAAACACAGTACGAGTGAAAACTCTGAAGCAGCTAGACAAACATTAAAAAAAGCTGTGAATATTTATTAAAAATACTTCAAAAGTGCTTAGTAAGTTAGCTGTAACGGCTGTGGACTGTAAACAAGACGTGGGGCAGCCTAAGATTTCCAAGGCAGACCTGCCTCGAAATGATACTATTCGCTACGACCCTTAACTAGCGTTTAGCAGTAGCAAATCGGTGAACGCGCTTATCAAGCATGCGGTGAGTCATTTGGCAAAACTGTTAACTGCTCTTTTTGTTTGCGAGACAGGTCAGAGATATGTTTATGAACGTCAATTTAAACAGGTTTCGCCGATTGTTTTGTTTTCTTTCCGTTTGCTTCACTTTTCACCGAATTTCACCATTCTCTTCTCGCTTGCCGTACCTCTGTTCGGAGGGCGCCATTTTCGGCTCTTCCGTGAGCGGGACAGAGATGGAGATAGGGGAAATGAAGAGGAGCCAACTGCCACTTGTTGGTTTCTTTTGGCGCGACATCAGCTGAGCTGCCTTTCTCCACCCCCGCACTTTTGCCAGTCAGATGGCATCAGCAGTGTGACCCTTTCGCCTGAATGTCTTTATCCTTGGAACGGGGTGATGAAATTCACCTGCAGCAAAAATTCAGTGCCAAGGTCACTGGTTTAGGATGTAACTGAATCTTACAGTTTTTAATATATTAAAATGATCTAGATACATTTTATATTAATATATTTTTATTGGAAACCTTTAAATTAATATGTTCGGTTTGCGTCTTAGGTTTTTTGGATTAAAGTGTATTAAGCAAGAATAAATTAAGCCAAATATCATAAAAAAGATTTTAGAATTATTTTAAAAATATAAAATGATAATAAAATATGAGACTATGAAAAATAAAAGCCAAACAGGTGAATAAAGTAAATTAAATTGGCCAGGGCATGGTATAAAGGCGTCAATTACCTGCTGATAAGGGAACTTGTTAATTAGGTCAGGGTTTGATTTTTCCATTTAGTAATTAATACTTTACTTTTCCGGCAGACTCCTCTATATAACCACACTGGATGGACGACTGAATGCCCTGGATATAGCCAAATCGGGAAAGTTGCGCTGGAGCGTGCCCACTGCACCCGGTCCGCTAATCTCATCCAGCATCCACCGCCTGGAGCTGACCAACAATGGGCAGTTCGTGCGCATGATTCCCTCACTGAGCGGCGGCATATACAAGTTCGACGGCGAATCCATCGATCCCATACCGATAACTGCGGAGCACCTACTCAGCTCGAGTGCCAAGTTCAGTGACGACCTGGTAATATCCGGCGGCAAGGAGACCCGTTCTTATGGCGTCTCTGTTCGTACCGGCCAGTTGCTCTACGAGTGCTCCATAAATGGCTGTGTAAACACCACCGATAATGGGCGGGCGATCAACGACACCATCGAGGAGGCGGATCAGGAGGAGCTTCGGCAGGAAGACAATGATGACCACCTGAGGGACGAGGCTGGCTACGTTGTGGGCCATGATCCACTTCTGGACGATGTAATTGTGGTACGCCGCCAGACGCAAACTGTTCGGGCTGTAGAGTCGAGGACCGGCATGGAGCGATGGAACTTCAGCGTGGGTCAGCATGAGCTAGATATGGTTCGTGCCTCTGAGTGTACTCAACAGCCACGTGATGAGCTCGAGCTGGCTGTCCTGGACGTTGACATCAAGGTGGTGGTGCCTGAGGGAGTAATCTGCGCTTTTAGCAAGAGCGACCCCCAGACCATGCTCTGGAAGTACAAGGTGAGTCGAAACTATTGCAACATAATTTCTAAAATATTTCCTGAAATATGTTTGCTCTTTCTTATTTGTTTGCTCTTAGTTCGATCATCCGATTGTGAGTGCCTGGAACACCAATGCCGCTGACGAATTGAAGCCCATTGATCTCTTTAGCTCGGCCCAGTGGCTCTGGGAACAGGATGATGAGGATGAGGATGTGCCCAACAGGCCCCAGACTGCGCCATCTATCTACTTGGGCATGTACGACAAGCAGTTGTATATCCAGGAGTCAATCCGTCTGCGCCAGGAAATCATGGACCAGACGAAAGTCTACCAGCAGCTCACAGGGGACACTAGTCTGATGCCTAAGATCCCTTGGAAGCCCATAGCAGCCAGCAGCAATTCGTTGGTCATATTCCGACAAGATGAGGATGAGCCCGAGGTCATAGGCGGTGGCACAGGAGGCAGACAAGGGAGCGAGCTGGTGCCCTATGACGACCAGAACTTCGCTGTGGCAGCTCAGTCAGTGCTGAATGCCTCAGAGTTTGTGAATGGTAATGGCTTCTATCTCTACACTACCTCGGATTTTGAGGGTCCATCGGAGTGCGGCACCAACGAGACACCAAGTGGTTTGCCTGCCATCGAGGCGCCTCCAGCTCCAAAAAATGGCACTTCTGACGGAGCGGAACACACCGGAAACAACAGCATCAACGACGATCTGGGCTTCAGTCTGGATGACATTGACGCTCCTGTAAAGGTGGTGATCTTGTCACTGTGGTTTTGGTGGAAGGAAATCGTAGTTATCGCATTTACTTCTGCTGTGCTCCTAAACATCTTTATGGGACAGCGAAACCAGCGGGTTGAGCGCGAGTATTTGGTCATCGAGCGACATGTACCGGTGCAAACTGCTATCGAGGCCACCGAAGCATCCACACAGGCTCTCCTGGGCCCCGTGGTCCCAATCCAACGCAATCCAGTCAATCGCTTCAGTTTCCCACCCAACGGCCGAATGCAGCGCACCATTTCAGAGTCTACCTCTCACTCGGGTGAGCATTACACCTCGCGCTTCCAGACCGACTTTGAGCTAATGCAGTGCCTCGGACGCGGCGGTTTCGGTGTGGTCTTCGAGGCCAAGAACAAGCTAGACGAGAATAGATATGCCATTAAGCGCATCACGCTGCCCAACAAGGAGGCTTCCAGGCAACGAGTGCTTCGTGAAGCTCGTACCCTAGCCAGTTGCGAACATCACAACATTGTGCGATATTTTCATGTAAGTAAGCCAGGGTCGGCATCATTATCCATATAGCTAATCCGATTATTTATTTACAGTCATGGACCGAAACTCCGCCAACTGGGTGGCAGGAAGAGGAGGATCGTAAACTAGTTGCCCACGAGCTGTCCACCTCCATTCAGATAGAGACACCAGACGAGAGTACACTGCCCTCGTTTGCGGACCAGCTGCAGGAGAAACGCCACCAGCAACTAATGTCCTGGGTATCGGATGCAGCGAATAGCACTGCTTGCAGCCACGACTTCCACGGACACGGCGAGCCCGCACTTAGGAACATCAGAGAAGAGTACGACGATGATGAGGAGGAGGATTCCCTCATTGAGTTCCGCAGCGAGTCGCAGTCGGCAGCTTTGAGGGCGGGGAACGATGACGACGAAGATGACGACGACGATGAAGAGGAGGAGGAGGAGGAAGAAAAAGACGAGAAAAAGGGACACCATCGCAGTTCCGTTTCCATTGACATTCATTCGGCTTCATTCGATCTGAAGAACATAAACTACTCACAGCACCAATTGGTGTCCAACTCCTTTCAAATCGAATCTGTTCGTACAAAAAGCAATGGCAGCGGTGATGAGGCGGAAGACGATAATAGGCCCCGAAAAAAGCCGCTCACCCTAGCTCTGGCTCACAACCACAATAACAACAATCACAACGGGAGCCATGTGACGCCACCGAGTGCCACCATTCAGAATGGACTTCCTAGCAAGCCAAGCAAAGTGTACTTATACATCCAGATGCAGTTGTGCCGTAAAGAAAGTTTACGCGATTGGCTAAGAGACAATCGAACTGAAGCCAGAGCTGCCCACATCGCTGATATCTTTCACCAGATCGTGGACGCCGTGGATTATGTGCACCTCAAAGGCCTCATCCATCGGGACCTCAAGCCAAGTAATATCTTCTTTTCGCAGGACGGTCAAATCAAGATCGGTGACTTTGGGCTGGTCACCGACATGGCGGACATTCCGAACCTGGTAGCCAAGTGTGGAGACCAGAGTGGCCTGCCCTCCTGTGCCCGCCACACTCAGCAGGTGGGCACTCACCTCTACATGTCGCCCGAGCAGCTTCTGGGTCGTCACTATGACTACAAGGTGGACATCTACTCACTGGGCTTGATTTTCTTCGAGCTGCACGTGTATTTCTGCACGGAAATGGAACGGATAAAGACGCTGCGAAATTTGCGAGAAGGCCAGTACCCCAAGGACTTTGCTCTCAAGTATCCGGAGCAGTACGATCTGCTTCAGCAGATGCTATCCGCCGATCCGGAGCAGCGTCCGCAGACTAAGCAGCTGAAGAGCCAGCTGGAGGACATCCTGCACCTACCGCACCACCTGGCGGACGGACGCAGCGAGCATGCGGTGCTGGCAGAGCGGGCAAGGCGGCTGAGTCGCAGTCGTACCTTCAGTAGCTCCAGCGAGCAGCATCAGTGATAGACCAGATAGGCCGTGGGCATGAACAGCCATCAGTCATCAGTTAGCATTTCGCTTGTAAGTTATTTTCCAAACGTGTCCCATCCCAACCAACCTTCATCCTCACCTGGCTATGCCTCATCCGCTGACCTCGACCCGGACTAGTCGCAGGATCATTTAATTGGTAATATCTAGACTCGATAAGTTTGTATTACGTTCACATTTTAAACTCTTGCGTGTCGCAAATTAGCAACAACAAAATGTCCTTTTGTTTATAAGACTTAACGTTAGGAATTATACATATATATAAAGATGTACTCCCAAAACAGTCGCTAGCCTAAGTTGATGATCTACGATGCCCAAAATTGTTTGTCCTAGTTTGTTTCTACCCATATAGCCAGCCAATTAATACGAGAGTTTGTTTTAGTTAATAGGCGATAAGAGAAAAATAAAAAAGCTTAAAAATAGAAATGGAAATGTTTTCTAATTGCTAGTCCAGATAACGGCCGTGAGTAATCGCCTTGGACGTTATAAATCAGTTGCCAGCTGACGCCACATCGGGTCCGGTTCTACGAAATTGGAGTAAGGCGCTAAAATTAATTTAAAAAACAAGAAAGGAATCTAACTTCGAGAAGTCGAAGTGTGTTTACCTATGGAGTTACCAATAGGACCATGGGTTTCAATTGTGAAATCGATGTTTTTGATGTTCTTATACCTACAAAAATAAACAAAAATATATTTTTTATGTGCTATTTTTTTGGGTAAATCAAAATCTTGTGAATATCATAACTAAGCCAAAAATGCATTCATTTTATCACTTAAACCTTTTCTGAGATAGATTTTAGGGGGCTGACAAATTTACAAAATGAGTTTTAAAATTAAATAAATTTTAATATTTTGTTCAAATTTGTACAATTTTAGCAATGTAACCCCTTATAAAATTTTGAAAATTTTTTTTTTACAAGATATAGATTGACTCAGCTGATGATGCTGATCAAGAATATATATATAATATATAGAGTCGGAAACGACTCTCGCAAACTTATGAGTGTAATTATTTGTGAATAATTTACGTTAAGATAGGCTATTAACTTTGAGTGTACGTTGTTAGATTCTTAATACAAATTACTGTACACTTTAAATTAAAATTATGTAATTAGCTACCTTGAAAATAAAATCATAGCTAGCACATCTGATTTTAGACCTAGGCCTGATCCGTCCTACTTACATTGTTTTATATGTCATAGTTAAGACTTACCGCAGTTAGGAGACACGGCTATCCTAATTCCTTGCAGCTTAGAGTTTTGTTCTTGGTGACTAGGCATTCATGGCATCATCAAAGTGAACGTCTTCCTATTTATCCAGATATGTTGGGGTCCAAGAGCAATCACTGTCACTACCACTATCCGTATAGATGTAAACACTGGCGAGGCCTCGGACTGACTGACGTGAGTGCGAGGGCAGCGCCTGTATTTATAGTCGCCGAGTAAAGAGAACAGAGAAATGAGAGCGAGAGAGCAAGAGATGTCTCTAGAGAGTTAGACATACCGAAAAAGGGGCAGAGAAAGCTAGAGAGGCGAGAGTAAAAGAGAGAGGGGAAGCTATTCACTGCCATTACAATATTATATGAAGGGAAGCTAACTTCGGCAGGCCTGGCAAACTGCAATTCGATCTTTGATATATATATATATAATATAGTCAGCCGATTTTAAAAATATTGAAATTATAGTCCTTCCAATCCAATTTAATTGCACTCGAAACTTAACTTGGTAATAATAAAATTATTATATTCAGTAAAAGCTGAACCCAATAATTAAAGGCCACGTATACTTTTTATATCACTTTAATTTGTTTTTATTTACGTCTGTTGCGCATTTTTCAAAAACGTTCTCTACTTTTCTAACGGTTGTTTGTCGGCGAATATTCATCGTACATCGCATGCCTTTATGTAGTGCATCCTACACTAAGTACAATTTGGTTGCATCCGTTTCCGGCCGACATTTTGTTATTCCATTGCTTAAGATTTAGGTTCGGTGCGATTCTCTTGCTATTCTGTGGCTAGCTTCTATCCAATTAACAATTTGTCTCTACATATCCCTGGCTCGCGTCTTGCCTTTTATTACAAAAAAATAACAGAGATCATGGGCGCCACATGATGACACGATGATGCGCCTTTGCAATACTTATCTAAACGTAGCAGCTTTCACTTAAGGCTACTTACATACGTACTTTTGAATGCTTTGAACAAACAACAAGCGGCTGAAGCTTTTGATTCGTTAATACATACTTTAAAGATGAGATTTTAATTGGTATATTGCTACACTTATTTAATCCTCTCACTTATTCTCGCTTCAAACTGTCGCAGGCAACGCGTTGCTTAAATATAAATAATTCAACAATTTTCCTTGTTGCACTTATGTTTGTTTTGTTTTCATTTAATTCCCTTTAACGGTTTGCATTTAGCGTTTTTAATTATTTCCACAAAAAATTAACAGCCATTTTGACGAATCCGTAAATGTTGAAAATCAAAGACAAAAACTCGAACCAAAGGCAATTATCGTTAGATATATATGTGTATATGTATGTATATATAGGTATGTATGTGTTATATAAATATGTTGATGTTAATGCTTTTCAGTTACTTATTTGCTGAAGAGACAATTTCCAATTGAAGATAATGCCAGAGAGTGTGTAATTTCGGTCGCCTCAACAAATAAGCCAACTAAGCTGTTTTGTTTATCTTTAATATTAAATGGTATATGTCCTTTATCAAAGCCACAAATATTTAGTTAATTACTTGTTATTATTTGTTGTATTGGTTACCTTTGGAAATAACGTTAAAAAATTGTTTCGAATCTCGTTTTTAGCTTAGTTATTATTATATATTCCTAGAACCTTAACCGAGCACTCAACTGGGAGTGGAACCAATTTTTGGCAGTGCGCCCAGTTATCTACCTTGAATATCAGTTAGAGCTTACTTATATTGCTGTAAAAGTCGGTTTCCATAGCATTTTCGCAAAGTTCTTCTTTTGAAATCTCTATGTACAAAGTCAGCCTTGATTGCTTTTCTGTTGAGTAGTTTGAGTGGTTTTCTTGAGGTAAAGAAAGAGATCGGTGTGTGGCATGTGCGTGTTTTGTGGAAACTGAGATTAGTGTAGATGGCGGTGTCCAGCGGATAGAGCAGTAGGGCGACACGCTGCCATTGCCTAGCTAATAAATCGATCGGCTAGATCAGTTTGATATCACTACTCTACGCTACACAAACGCTGATGTCTAACAATTTCGAGTACGAGTATGTCGTGGTTAATGGCATTATCACTAAAAATAATAACACAATCGTCGTCGGTTCTTTGTGCGCTTCAATCCAATTGTAATCTTACTTTAGTGCTAGATCTACTACGAAATATTTGCTTCTGGTGTCTTAAGGCGTCCTGATCACGGCTCCTTACACGCCGAGACATTTTAAAATCGTTGGAAACTATTCAATATATTTGAAATATTAACAACTGCAGTTATGGAAATTGTTTTGATTATTGACTTTATGACGTGTTGTTGTGTTTTATGTAAATCGGGCGCCGTGTAAAGAGCCCTGAACTTATTTAATCCCCTATTAACTCTCCTGTTTGAGTTCTCAAATAATGTACAAGTTTACTGTAGTTTGGAGCATTTGAATGTCATGATTGTAACACTTTGATTTCAGGGAATTGGGAGGATCTCGACATCTCTATTCCCGGTTACTCGCACCTAAGGCTATTTATTAACTCTCCTAAAATTACGTACGTTTTATGTTCCAGTTTCGGAGACTTGACATTTGGCAATAACTGACATCTTTGTTTTGTTGTTGGCTTAAAAACTAATTCTTGAAATGATCACAACGTTAAAGTATGTTTACATATACGTGTATAGCTTAGGTCAACTACTTAAGTACTTATACGCTCTTGGTTTGTTTCGATAACAAGGTTATTCGTTCGTACATAAAATGTATTGTAAATTATGGTGGGATTAATTGCCTATTTACGTTCCACGACAGAAATAATAACCGTAACGATGGTAATGACAATAACGATATAAAATCAAACTTTTGCCGCAATTGTTGCTCTGCACTCCAGGGATATTGCACTCCGCATATTAATGGCAGCTGCACTTCCTGCCGGCGCACGGGCATTGAATTGCAAATGCGAATGCACTAAAGTTGTCAGCAAGGATGTCGGAATCGGGATCTCGGACCGCTGGCCAAACGTATGTATCCTTCGTTCGGCAGCCCCCCATTGCCATTTAAATGAGCGCAGCAAGGAGCGCTGCCCGTAAAGGCAGCTAGCAAAATGTTGTAATAATGGCAAACAAAAGCAGCGAAGGGAAGCGGGGGAGGCGGAGTGTGGCCACTAAAAGTTTATGCTAAAATATGCATCTGCAAGCGTTCGCAGGGGGCTACAATGTCGTTGTTGTGTCTTTGCCAGCTAGATTGCGTATACGCCACCGCTAAAGGACATTACGTATACGCCATGGTGCACCTTGCCCCCTGCTCGCTGCCCGATGTCCGCTGACAGCTGCTGCTGCTGATAAAGAATTCACTCGGGTATAATGCGCGCCAGATCAGAACGTTTGCTTAAAAAACTTATGCAACATTTGCTAAAGTATTGTACAGCGTCCTTTATTCCTAGTTGATTGTGAGTACTCAGCGCCGGCCAGGACACTGCTCGCGGTCATACCTCCTCCTCCTCCGCCGCCGCCGCCGCCTCCCGCTCCGCCGCCAGCTCCTCCTCCCGTACTGGTGCAGCCCATCAGCTCACGGAATACGTCGCCGATTTTGTAGTTGTATCTGAAAAGGAGACGAAAGCCCGCCCGGTTAGTCGTCGCCGGGCACAAATATCGCATGACAGATGGTCGTATTGATTACTCACTGCGCCGAGCACTCGACGTAGCCGCAGCGCCAATGTTTGCGCACCAGCGTGGAAATATCCTTGAGCTCCTGCCAGGCCGCCGCCGGGATGTGTGCATGTGCGATAAGAGAAAGGATTCAATATTGAGTGCAAATCTGCTGGAAACAAATAACTCAAGTCAAGGTTTTCGCTATTTGCCTCTTAAGTGGGCCATTTTTGATCTTATTTCTTTTTCCTAATCATTTGTTATATGTACAGTTAAGTAACGAAAGAAATAGAATTTTGCAATGAAGAAAATATATTATATATTATTGCACTCACCTGCGAGTTGGCCTGCGCCTCAGTCACATTGTCAAATTTATTGCCAACCACAATTATGCTAAAATCACGATGACTGAAACTGTCCAAGATTTGATCTCTCATCGAGCGGCAGTACTGCAATTAAAATTGCAAAAAATTTGTCACGGTCCAGCGGAAGGAAGTCGAGTGGAGGCACTCACCTGAAATGTTTCCAAATTGCCCATGTCGTAGACGAGGACATAGGCGTGCACCGTTCGCAGCCCCAGCGGATGTCCGTTGTTCCATTCGGCGAAGTTGTCAGCCGGAAATCGCTTCTGGCGAGATGGCGATGCCAATTGGTCGATTGTTTGTTTTTCATCAGCGTATTTCCCCAAACAAACAGGCGGACAAACAAAAACGCACATGTGTCCACACGGCCGGATGAGTTGTGTTTTCGTTTCGCATTATTTTGGCACGCGCATGAAAAGCAAATATGAAAACGAAAAAAGAGTTTATGGCATTTAATAGGGGCTCACAACGGGCAGCATTATGACATAAAAATATACAAATGTTTTTTGGTTCTTCTCATTTTGTTTATTTTTAAAAAAAGTTTTGCCGAGTTAAAGTATTAGTGGGATTTATGGGGGTCGCGCTCCATCAATCGATGGATAATATGTTAAATAAATACCATTATTTTTGATGCAAGCACATGTGTTGATGGGTTTTAATTTTTTTGTAGCAAACCTGGATGCTCTGGTATTCATAAACACGGATTAACAAATAGTAATAGTTTAAAGAAATTTTATTGAAGTCATATTTGTTTGAATAAAAATAACATTTAATTTTAAATAAAGTGCTTGTTAAAGTAGGGAATAATTCCTCTAAACAAATTTATTATATTTAAAGTGCCCCGAATTTATATTTACTTTAATATTTCTGTTGATTTATTGTCACACATTTAATTGTTAGCTTCAATAAAAGAAGATATAAAACCAATATCAATTCCGACACCATTCAAATTCTGTCTTGAGATAAACCCAACTATTATTGTATAATTATTTACAACTTTATCTTCTCAAGTTCAAGTTTCAGAGGTTCAACTGTGGCTTTTCCACTTCCTTCCCCTTCGGCTTGTCCTATTTATTTAGGACTTAGTTGACCACTCCTGTGGCTTCAGCAATCTTTACTGCCCACAGCAGTCGCATTATTTGCTTCAGCTCATTGCTGCATCCGTAATGGGATTCATTTATTCCCTCTGCTTTTCACAAGCTGAGTTCCCCTGCATTTATTAAATGTAACTGAAACTGTTGTCGCAGTAAATATTCAAAGGACAAAGCAACTCCCACAATGGCCGTACACCGTAGCAGTTACACTGGGGCACAATGGACAGCGGTTGATGCATTTACTGCCGTTGCGGTGAGCGTTGTCAGTAAATAATTGTTGCTCAATTAATGTTGGAAAATGTGTTCCCATCCCATGAAACCAAGGACACCCTAGCAAACAAATCGACCAAATTAGTTGCTCATTTCATTCTTAGTTGTGTAAACAATTTCGACGATAAGTCAGTGATGGTTTTGAGAAATATTTAACTAGAAAAAGGAATCTTTTACTCTTGCAATATGAGTATGATAAATAAATTTCCTTTCTCTTACAACCTTTATAAATATTTTATTCTTAAGAATCTATTGTAAATGACAGTGACATAAATCAATTCCTGCTCCAGCAGAGAGCCCCCAAAAGACGAATCAGTAAGCACATTTTCCACCACAGGCAGGTGGCGGCAGGCCGCAGTTTTTCCTCCCTCTGCGCTAATGAGCAGACAGAGGGTTGGAAAATAAGGAGGGGTTTGTGGCAAAGTCAGTGAGCCCACAGCAAGACAGTAAGTAAACGTTATAATTAAATTTACGTCGCAACATTTTAGGCGCAAACAAAAGTCAAAGGCCGGCTAGACAAGAAAAAGCGTCCGAGACACAGGCACTTAAGAGGAAGAAACAGTGGCCAAAACAGGCACTGTTGTCTCTTTAGCTGTTTATTAATAGTCAAAATTGGGGTATTTTCAATAAATAATATAATATGTAACTTTATGTTTTGAAATATAAGTTTAATAAGTATTTAACTATGGGTAAAAATGTTTATTTCGTAACGTAAAAATGGAATGAGGGTCAGTTTTTCAGTGTGGTTATCAAATTTATAATCGAAAGTAGGTTCGCGGCATTCACCTAATAACTCTACTATAAAAATATATTTAATTTAGTTAATATATTTTTAGTAAGAGTTTATATTTAAGGGCCATCCCTACTTTTGAATGCCTATTTTGGCTCTTTTATGCAGTCCAATAGTGACAGCACTGAATCCATCCCCCGGAGCTCCTGACCCCGTGCACGGATGGACAGCTCAAGGGTCCGCATTCCTTGGCGCCTCTACGTCTGGTCCTTTGGCTCTCCGGTTCTTCAGCTCTCCAGCTCTCCAACTCTCCGGATGGTCTCCACCTAAACATCCCTCCGGTTCCTTGGTTCATCCCCCTTGCGACTTCTGCTGTGTTGTTTGTGTATTGTGTCATTCCGGCTGCCAGACAGTCGACGCCACTCCCGTCGCGCAGTAACTTAGCTAGATTTACGTTTTTGATTAAATTTCATTTAATTTGCGCTTTCCCCGCCGCTCTGTTTGTGATTATTGTTGCTTTGTTAATTAACGGGCTGCGAGCTGGCTTGAAATGCGAGCAGCTCGTTAGCCAAGATTCTCGATGTCTTTTGGCCCCGGCTGTTGTAATTGTTGTAATTGCTGCATTGTTGCTATCTTGGATTTGAGCCAAGATGGATGGAATGCATCCGTTGGAGCAAAGGATGTGGATTTTTTTTCCTGGAGTGGAGTCGATAAGTTCAATTCCTGAAGCCTGGCTGGTGACCTGCCAGGATTTTTCAATCAAGATATCTAGGTCAGCTGGCTTTATTGTTTTCCTAGGAGGTTTTGGTATATATATATGTATATATGGTATGGGAATTGATATATGTTTGCTTAATTTATGGCCTTGTAACTAATTTTATTTATTACCGAACCGATAGGACTCATTGTGTTGATAATATTAATTTATAGAAATATTTAATATAGTGCAAGAGCATTTAAATTGCAATTGAAATAAAACAAAATGAATTATAAGTTATTTTAATAGTCCAATAAATAACACGATATGTTGATATAATAATTATGGAAGTTATTAGGCATTACAGCCACTTGCAAACATCTATCTCTGCTTTCTGTTTTATATTGTATGTAAATAAACAAACCTATTTCAATTTAAACAAAACTAATTTTTTAAATTGTTTTTTTTTTGTATTAAAAGCCTGTTTTATATATTTTTTCTTCCTAAAAACTGACTAATAAGGGATTTTGACTATTAAAAGTAGTCTGTAATAATTTTCAAAGTGTACGCCCAAGTGTGATATATATAAAATAAACTTTTCGACTGATTTCAGGGCCCGTAGGCATCGTTAGTCCGGGTCATTGAGTCCTGTTCCTGTCCCCGGGATCGTCATTTCAAGTTGCTTCGAGCAGCGGCGGTCACTTAACGTAAACAATGGCCAACTAAATGGCCTACAGAGAGCATCTGTTCCCGCAATCCCCTCCAGTCAGTAGCTGGACATGTGCTATATGGGCGAAAATCTGTTGGAAAATAAATGCTGTTTGTACAAGTGGAAACCATTAAGGTGGACTTTGAGTTATGACTGCCAGGCAGTGCACTTGACGATGAAAAATTTACCACAATAAACAGGCGACAGTCGGCCCAACTTGTTAGTCCTCCTCTGGCGTCGAAAGAACCCCTGTTGGCCCGCTTTTAGACAACAGTCAGCCATTTGGTCAGCACAATGGCTGTACAACAAAGAGTATAATAAAAGCAGGACGATGAAAACACAAAAAAAAAACACACTGTACTCGAAAACAAATTCACGCCAAAATGGACATGAATAAGTTGAAAGGCATTGAGAGGCGGCCCCGTCGCAAAAAGGGGTGCCACTGGAGGAGAACTGCCGGGGCGGTACGGGTCGCTGCTCGGCACGTAGTTAATATGACAATGGATGTGGTTGGCTGACTGCCCGACTGCCAGCTGCTTTTTGCTGCCAGTCAACTCTTTTGCCTCGCTTGCCATTTCAATGCAAATTCCTCTCGGTGAGTATCTGTGTGCCAGGATATCGGTGGTGGAGCCACTGAATCGTCTTTTTGCCGTATCCTTTGCCAGCTTTGTCAGCCCAGCTCTGCTCTGTACACACTTGGCCCAGTTTCCCTATTTGCCAGATCAACGGCCGTTCCAAAAGCATCCAGCCATGGCACAAAAGGTATTAATCGGCCAAAAAATATGTCTGTGTACTATGCAAGTTTTTCATTATAAAGATAAGGCAACAAATAATGTAAAAGATCATAGGACCTCGTTTTCATGATATCGAAATAATTGGAATTTATGGGAGCCATTATTTAAAATTAGTTGTGGGATATAGTAGACATGGGTATGTTAGTTAGTTTGGTTAAATACAAGCCATAAATGAAAATCAGCATTCGTAACCATCAGTTTGAAAAAAGCCACATAGATACCTTTTGAAATATTAAACAATCGTTGTCCAAGGACTCAGAAATCCAAGATAATTCGCCTGCTGACATAGTGGCCCTTAGGGTACTAAATTGTAACAAAAAGTCATCTTTTTACATGCAAAACTCAAGCTTTGCATACTCACAAGGCCAAGTGGGAAACCAAGAAACAACTGGCCCCGATGCCAGTATGTTCCATAAATATTTTATGATAGCTAAACGTTGCCGACCAACACAATAGGTAGTGGGATAAGAGGATGTCTAAAGCAGAGGCTGACTTAGAAGGGATTCGACTAAAATGTTCATTAAAAATAAATACTACTTACTCGGTATTTAAAATACAATAATCAGAAGAGTTATTGGTTATACAAATCAAACTTAAGGTATCTTATTATCTTAATACTTTTGAAAACCCTTGGAAACCCTTCCCTAATCCGCTCCTGGCAGAAAGAGTAAGCCGTAAGATGAATGGAACGACGAGTGCAGTGACAGTGGCTGTGAAATCTCCCTAAACTCCGAACATTTTCCGTGTCAGTTTTTGATTTGAGGTTTGAACAAACTGCTCTCTAATTGCCAAAGTCCATTGCCAAGTTCTCGGATGAACCGAAACGAGGTTCTGTGTGTGGACTATAGAGAGTTCTCGAGCTTTTTGCATAAGTAACATCCTCCGTCAAGACTCTCGAGAACACCAGCCGCCTGCTATAAAATATGGCCGGACATGGGGCCAAACTTTATGGCCAGCCATAATTGCGCTTTCAGGCGGATAATAGTTGTGGGACAGCTTGACAACACGAAGGAGCGTTGGTCCTCGCACGTACCAGAATTCCTGATTAGTTAAAAATTGATAATATCCACCTATACAACACATCGGAGCAAAAGGCCCACGATGGCCATTGCCATTCGCCTGCCTTCTTGTTCTCCCCTGGCTGGCAGCTTAAAAATTTATTCAGGCAACCACTTTTACGAGCCCGACCGGGGACTTTAATAAAGTCAACTTCGTATGCTATGAGGAAGGTGTTTTTATGCAGGAAGAAACTTGTGGTTATTGAAATACCCTGGCTTCCCATCAGGTATACCAGGTTTATTGCAAAATATTGTCTAAAGTATTTGGAACATTAAAAACACAATCTAATTTCCTTCCTTGGTTTGCACTGTCATTTAAAGCTAGATAACCTCTGAAAACCAAAAGATTTCAAGACTTCAAGCGACTCTTGTTATATTAAATCGACTGCAGAGATTCCAATGGGTTTGTTGCCCATCTGATTGCATGCTCAGGAGAAACCCTTAAGCACTTTTGGCCCAAAAGTGTTATGTAAAAATACCAAATTCGAGTAACGCGAAAAGGGAGCCCACAAAAGAAAGTTTTGCTTGTGGCAACATCAGGCGGAGCAACGCCATTTGGTTTTGCGGTTGTCTACGTTGTTGCAAACTGTTGCTCGGGGCGCTTCTGGTGCGCTGATTATTAAAATAAAAGTAAAATAACGTGGAAAAGTGGTTGGGAAACTGTTCGGCCCGTAATGAAAATGCAGAAGGCAGCCGTTTGAGTCTAGACACCTCCGACAGCCGGCTCAACGATGCTGAGATGGCTCAAAGTGTCTTCAGCATAATATTTTTGCAGGACGAAGCAGATTGCAACTGGTTACTGGCCAAGGATCTGGGCGGCAATTTAGATTATTTAGCAATTTATTACAGCCAGCGGGCGCAGCGATGAGGAATTTCCTAATATGTCAGCACCATGAAATTCACTGGAAAATTGTGTAAAAATAGTTTGTACATATTTTCATGAAATTCTGCACTCCCCAGCCGTGCACTGACAGTGGGAAGAAGAGAACTTTTAACTAAATTATGCGAAAGTTAGAATTTTGCGGCAAGGGCTCGGGGCTGGGAAGGATTTATGGTGGATGCTCGGGGATGGCAGGTGGCAGATGGCAGGTGCTAACTCACCTGGGGTGGAACGTCCAGTACCATCAGCTCACGTATGCAGGTGTCGCAGACCAGACAGTTTTTATAAATCTTCCGACGCGTTGTCGTCTGATGAGTCTTGGGAAAGTCATGGTAGAAAAATTGCTGAAAAGAAATACGATGTGTGCGAAAATTAAATATTATTATGTTTGTAAAATATTGCGCATGCGACACGTGCTACGCCAATGAAAATAAAAATGAATTTCCCATTTGGACTCCGAATAAAAGACCCCGTTTAAAAGCAAACCGAGCAAATATTGTTTCACTTTTCCTATCGCACACTCCTTGACTGCTTTTCATTCTATTTTCTATTTTTATTTCTATTTCTGTTTCTGTGTTGAGCAAACATTTTATGTTAAATATGGGCTCTTAGCATTTGCATGAGGTCCTTTGGCAAAAACAGCCGCACATATTTCATGGACATTTTTAGCTTATTAAAATTGAAAGCGCTTAAAAGTGTGCTATGGATTTTATGTTCGCTGCGGTCATGTAATCATAAAAACGACGGAATAAACCAGTAAACAAACCGCACACGATCCGCCTGGCAATGGTTATATGAGCTATATGTGAAACGAAGCGGAGCATTGAATTTAGAGAAATGTAATTAAATATGGCTTTAACTTTGGAGGAGCTTAGCTTAAATAGGAAGCCTTGGAAAGCGTTTCAATTTTGGGCAGTTACTGTACAGGGCTGTGCGGGGTTTTTATCTTTGAGAACATTACTATTGATACTATTTAAAAACACTTTTAATTCTACTATGATTATTATTGGAAGTAATTTATAATGTAGCCATGTTTACATTTATCCGAAACCCATTAGATTTTTATTTACTATACAATTTACCAACTCTCTTCCGTCTCATAACACTTTTCAATAAACTCCTTGTAATGTTGTTTCACTTTAATTTGTTAATAAATTTTTAGACGCCCAATACTGCGCTTCACTAGCTCTCTTAAGCCTCTGTAATGAGCCATAACTCTAATCCAAAGCTCATAACGCACACGCGGGACTTTTTTGGATTTCGTCCTGCAACGTGGTCGAAATGACCCCATTAACCCGCAGGCTCTCTTATTGGGTCCTTGGCTGACTTTTGGTACCCGGGTTCCCCAAAAGAGACGGAGTGGCCAAGTCGAAAGGCAGTTAAAGGAAAGGAAGCACCCTAAAAATAAAGCCAAGGCCGGCGAGAGCATAAAATACGCTTTTGTAAAAAAAAGATGATAATGAAAGAAGGGAAATGGGGCGGTTTTGGGGATGTGCAGATTTTGATTGTGGCAGGCTTTGTATCTCTCTGTGTGTGTGTATGTAAGGGAGTCCTCGCAGTGGGTATCAATGCATGAGTTGAATGAGTGACAGGCTCAAAGGATATTTAACGCCTGATTGCATTTTAAAGTGATGTCTTGTCCTCCAGAGGAGCCATCGCCTAGATTGCCAATTCACGATTATAGTTGATTGCGTATGTGCACAGGAAGAAATCGGTTCCCTTTGTGGTTTTTCTTTTCTTTTCTTTTGTACAAATAATATCAACATTTGTTTACTTAAAATATAAGTCATACCTTATTTATTCAATATTTTTTTAATAAAATAAAACAAAACCATGAAATATATATGCTTTAATTTTATAAGCGAAATACTTCCTTAATACACTTTTTATAAAGAAACTAATGAGATACTTAGATAAAATAATCCCAAATCAAACAGTGGTCAAACTATATATTCCGTGATTTCTTAAATATCATAAATATAAAATTTATTTCATGTATAGTTCTCATCACAATGTTTTCTCCCCGTGTAAGTGTGTGATAAGTCTGGCTAATAATAAAGTCGAGTGAAAATCATTCGGGACTTCGTTCACGATCCCCTTTGCGCGTCTAATATAAATGCAAATGCCTTTCTGCCAATCAGCAAAGCCATTGTTGTCAATGCAATGAAATCAGCTGCAATTTATGCGCACTACGATTCAATTACGCGGCACCGAAAAGGAACCAACAAAGTCGACCAAGGACAGCCACCGGAAGCGGAAGTGGCCGCATTGGGAAGCCATCTTAGTCTTAAAGCTGGAATGCTTTTAGCAGGGCCGATTTAAAATTATATGCTTTTCCCAGAAGATGTGCCAGTGGTAAGGCGTGGCAAAGGGGTCAGATCGCAACTCGTGGCAAGACTCCGCATCGCATCGCATCACATTGAAGCGCATCGCATCGCATCGCTTTTATGTCCCAGCGCCGCATATCATTGAGTTTTATTTTTATTGAACTGGTAATTGAATAAGAAATGACATTGATGGTCGTCCCATCTCAGTCTGTTCCGCGGTCTTCAGGTCCTGCTCCCAGTTTCGAGTTTCCAGTTAAAAGTTCCCAGTTCCCGTGCTCCTTGCTCCGGGTCGTTGGCGTTGTCGTGGCCGGCTTTGCGCCTCTTTATGCTTCCTGCTGCCCCATAAAGTGTGCCACATTATCTGGGCCATAAATAAGCATGCTGGGCACCCGGGCAGGAGGAGCTTCTTCAAAATGTACCCAAATGGATATTCATGGCGTACTCTTTATTGATATGATGCACCGGGTTTTATTTCTCGCGTTTATCTACCGGAATTAGCGCAGTTTATTCGAAAATATAGGCAAGCTGGGAACTGAAGTGGCCCAAAATTGAGTATTTTGAAATTGAGTCTCAAAATTAGATTATTATGCTGTGTGGCGGGCTCAGCACTAAAAATGTGAATTTAAAGTATAAAATAAGAAATGACTGTAAAATAAACCTAATTCTTTCCGTCTTTTCCCTTATTTTTTGCAATAAAAATAATAGCTTTGAGATAAGTAAGTATTTATGAACACTAATTATTCATGACCAGTAAGTAAGTAAGATCAGTTATTAACTTTGAATACTAATAAACAATGACTTGCAGCTTTTGTAACACAACACATTTCTAAGACTTGGCCGGCAGAAGTCACTTCGTTCCGGGGATGTTAGAACCAGTTGGGAATCATACACATATGGGAGATTTGTTTTGGAACAAATTGAGGAGCAAGCTATTTGAATGAAACTATGGAGTAATTCTTCGATATTATTTTTCTAGTACATATATAAGTCGGAGCACGGCGAATCGGTGGACTATATATAACCCAGATATAGCTGCCATAGGAAGAATCGGACGGTTTATAGAACTATGATCAGTAGTTAATTATGATCAGTAATTAACTATGAGCAGTAAGTAACTATTAGCAATAAGTATCTCTGAACACTAAGTATCTAAGACCATTAAGTAACTATGATCAGTAAGTATCTATGACCACTAATTATCCATGACTAGTAAGTAAGTCAGATCAGTTACTAACTTTGAACACTAATAAACAATGACTTGCAACTTTTGTAACACAACACATGTCTGAGACTTGGCCGGCAGAAGTCACTTCGTTCCGGGGATGTTAGAACCAGTTGGGAATCATAATCATGTGGAAGATTTGTTTTGGAACAAATTGAAGAGCAAGCTATTTGAATGAAACTATGGAGTAATTCTTCGATATTATTTTACTAGTATATAAGTCGGAGCATGGCGAATTGGTGGACTATATATATACCAGATATAGCTGCCATAGGAAGAATCGGACGGTTTATAGAACTATGATCAGTAGTTAATTATGAGCAGTAGGTAACTTTGAACAGTAAGTATCTATGAGCAGTTACTAACTTTGAACAGTAATAAACAATGACTTGCAACTTTTGTAGCACAACACATTTCTGAGACTTGGCCGGCAGAAGTCACTTCGTTCCGGGGATGTTAGAACCAGTTGGGAATCATACACATGTGAAAGATTTGCTTTGGAACAATTTGAGGTGCGAGCTATTTTAATGAAACTATGAAGTTATTCTTTGATATTATTTTACTAGTATATGAGTCGTAGCATGGTGAATCGGTGGACTATATATACCAGATATAGCTGCCATAGGAACAATCGGACGGATTATAGAACTATGAACAGTAGGTAATTATAATCAGTAATTAACTATGAGCAATAAGTATCTCTGAACACTAAGTATTTATGACCATTAAGTAACTATGATCAGTAAGTATCTATGACCACTAATTATCCATGACTAGTAAGTAAGATCAGTTACTAACTTTAAACACTAATAAACAATGACTTGCAACTTTTGTAGCACAACACATTTCTGAGACTTGGCCGGCAGAAGTCACTTCGTTCCGGGGATGTTAGAACCAGTTGGGAATCATAATCATGTGGAAGATTTGTTTTGGAACAAATTGAAGAGCAAGCTATTTGAATAAAACTTTGGAGTTATTTTTCAATATTATTTTACTAGTATATAAGTCGGAGCATGGCGAATCGGTGGACTATATATAACCCAGATATAGCTGCCATAGGAAGAATCGGACGGTTTATAGAACTATGATCAGTAGTTAATTATGATCAGTAATTAACTATGAGCAGTAAGTAACTATTAGCAATAAGTATCTCTGAACACTAAGTATCTAAGACCATTAAGTAACTATGATCAGTAAGTATCTATGACCACTAATTATCCATGACTAGTAAGTAAGTCAGATCAGTTACTAACTTTGAACACTAATAAACAATGACTTGCAACTTTTGTAGCACAACACATTTCTGAGACTTGGCCGGCAGAAGTCACTTCGTTCCGGGGATGTTAGAACCAGTTGGGAATCATAATCATGTGGAAGATTTGTTTTGGAACAAATTGAAGAGCAAGCTATTTGAATAAAACTTTGGAGTTATTTTTCAATATTATTTTACTAGTATATAAGTCGGAGCATGGCGAATCGGTGGACTATAAATGTATCGGAAAATTTTAGGAAACAAATTTTTAACTTTTACAGCTTACTTTACTGTTTTTTAACATAAATATATATAAATTATATTGTATTAATTCCTAGTACAAACATCGGCCTGCCGAAGTTAGATTCCTGTCTTGTTTAAGATCGAATTGGTTTAAAAGATCATCTTAAAATATATAGTAGAAGTATCTTTACTAGTTAAGCTATAAACTTTATTCTATTAACGATGAATTTGCTGCGAAAAGCTTCTTTAGTATTAAGATGAAAGAGTATTAAAAATAAACCCCTCTCTCTTAATGGTTACTTCTGACTGACTTTATGCGTTTGCAATTTTATTTCGCGGAACTGTCGAACAATAGACAAAAGCGATCGTATCGATTTGCTTTATCCTGCTATAACAATTATGTGATTTCGTTTCGCATGTTTTTGTTTACACGCCTATTACATTTACGCGGCAATAAACATTTTGGAAAGGTCCTAGATCCGCCACACTCCGCGTGGCATTTCCCCTGGCCAGCTTGACCGCAAACAGCCATTAAACGGGACGTAATTGATTTTGCAGTGCTTAAAATGCCATAAAAATGCACAAATCTCGCATTACACACAATAAAAGGCGTCCAACAGGAAACGGGAAGCCGAACCGTGGCGGGAGGTAGGGACCGGAAGTTGGGCAACAGAGCTTAGAGGGAACTTGGGGGAATTGAGTCGGGTTGGGTTCTAAAAGCTAACAAACACACACACACACATTGCAGACTCGCAGAAATTAAACGCTGCCGTAGAGTGCACACAAACACAGAGACAGCCAGACGTATGGAAAATAATGGAGAGAGCGCAGTAAATGGCAAAGCGGCCAACTCGCAACTGCCAACTGCAGTTAATTGAATTTGCCGAGCGGAGAAGGTGAAAGGCGGTGGGAAAGCGCTGGAAAATACACCCGTTTTCCATGTCGAGGCTAATACACTTTTTATTTTTTGAAAACAATTTCCGTTGCCTTGGCAAGTGCAGAGATCTCTTTTACGTTTATAACATGTATTTTTCATTGCTTACGAAATTTCCGGACGTCAGGTAACGCTTAACGTCTTGGCCCGTAAGAGGCCACATGGCGGATGAGTAATATTTCGCGATATTCCGAGACGGAGATTTTTATATGCTTATTTTATTTATCTTATTTTAGCTTTAAATTGGATAGAAAGATTTCTTCTTCTACTTTTAGTTTAATGGATTATCTCTCTTTAGTTATAATTCTTTCACGGTAGTATCCCTTTTCCCTTACAAATGTATTATATGTACATGAAGTTTGTTAACAATATAGGTACATGTAACCATACAATATACCTTAATGTAATACCTTTTTTTGCATACTAGTTTCAAGAGACTTTTCATCCTCAATGCCAAAGTGAGTGTTATTGCCAATATGCTTTTTGGCCAAGGTAGAGAGCGTTGGTAAACACATATGCCCCGCCATTCTAGCACTGTGCCTTTGCCATTGTCTAATTACAAAAGATAAACCACAAAAGATACGATGCGATGCGGAGCGCAAATCAAATTAACGACGCACCCACACGCACACAAATGCAATTAGCAGAGCGAGGAATAAGTGTGTGTGTGAAGGACGAAGTGAGGTGCATGGAACTGGCATATCCCCATTTTATAGGTAGACGTAACGCTAAACATCGCCAGCTGCCGTGGGACTGGTCCATTAAAAAGTTCCTGGCTAAGCTTTTCAGCTTTCAACGGGGTCGCCTATATTGCCCATTAATAATTTAGAACCAAAGCGGGGCCAGGAAAAGTGCAGCAAGCCAGTCATCCCACTGGATTTTACCTTTTTTTTTACGTGTATTTGGGAAACTTTTAATCAGGAATTGTGTTAATTGAAAGTGCAATTTATTATTGAAAAATTAATTAATGCGTCTGGGCAACAGGATAGGATTGGATTGCAATGGATTTGGGTTGCAGGGAATGGGGACTAACGACCATTCCATTTTAATTGCATCACAATCTGAAATGCATTTAACAAACATTTAAATTTCCATTGGCGATTCCGTATTAATTACATCAATTAAACTTCGATGCTCGGTAGATGCACTTTGATTCTTGCAAATTGAAACATATTAATTTACTTCATTGGATTGACTTGTAATTAATATCATTAAGGAAACCTCAATGTTTGCTAGTCAATAAGGGAGTAAATCAAACTTTTTAAATGAGAAATAATAATGTAATTATCTTTATACCTAATGGTAAGTTTTCACATAATCTTACATATTAACCATAGCATTTACCCCTCTAGATATGTAGGAGTTTTATCGTTATTCAAGCATTTTATTAAGAGATTTAGAGTAATCTAATTGACATTAGAGACTCACCTGTAATATGCTTGTTTTGCCGACGCCAGTAGCCCCCAAAAAAGCGGCTTTAAGGGGGCCCTGCAGCCATGGCGGCTCCGCACCGCCCTCCAGAGTGATGCGCTATGCCGAAATGCACTTATTCTGTATATGAAGCTCCATTTCAATTGAGATCTTGGTTGTGCTCGCTGCCGCTGTGGCTGTGGCTGCAATTGCGGTGGCTTTGGCTTTTGATCCTTTGGCTCCTGCTGCTGCTGCTGGTGCTCCTGTTTTGTAATTGCCTGCTGCTGTCCTTGCACTATCACCGACATAATCAACGCTTCGTGTGCTACCGATCAATAGTTTCTTAGAGTTGGTTGGCGATATTGTACTACTCCACATTATATTATTATTATAATTGCTTATTGTATTGTTGTTATTCCGCTGCTTTAACGACGCCAGCTTGACTGATTTCGGGGAATGCGTTTCACAAGAAGAAAATATCCTTAGGCGAAGCAAGGAGAAGCAGTGGTTATTGCATTAAGCGAGGATGGAGTTGCAGTATAAAGGGAAGCTGTTCCAACTTATTGCTTATTATTTGCTGAAAAAGAAGAACAAATTGTTTCTATTGTTAGTTTTAAATGTATATATAAAAGTATATATAAAAGGAACCAAACAAAAGTATTTATTTTATCAAAGACACTGTTCGTTTTTGCATGCATTTTAATGCTCTAACTCAATCAGACAATCTCTGTTGTGTAGTTTATTTAACACTCACTCATCTACTCTTTAAACATTATGCCAATTTGTATGAACCATATGCGGCCAATAAATTCAGGATTCGCATCACTTGGGATGAACATACCTGCCCATTTCAATGTATTTGCAAGATTGATTATGAAATTATAATTTAAATGGCGTTTCCAACCAATCTGATGGCTACAATGGAATAAACACAAATCAGTGGCCATCGAATAAATTGCCAAAATGACGGCGAAAGAAATCGTTTTGCGAGGCCGAAATGCTTTCGTGGCAATCAGCTCCGAATTCTGCTAACTAAATTTATTGAGTCGCCAGCGGATATTGCACATTGATTTCAGTTTAATAACATAAATATTGTTTGGGTCCTCGCCCCCCACCCCCGTCCCCCGATTGTGTTTTTCTCTCCCCCCGAAAATTCTGTGTTTCTCCTTCGGGTCTCTTTGCATTGCCAATAATAAATTTCAAATTTCACATTTCACTTCCGCTGCACAACGGAAGTTGATTTCTGGCTCTGCCTGGCTGGCCCCAGGGCTCATATTCTTATAGCCTATTTTTTTGTTGTTGTTTGGGGGGAAAATGAAAAAAAAAGCGCACAAAAAGAAAAACATTAAGTGAGGCGTGAAAAATGTTTGGCAATTCTCTCTTTTTCGTTCGTATATACGGCCACACCACAGTGTGCTTGTAAATTACACGAGAGCAGATTTATAATTAGAAAAGTTTTCGAAAATTAGATTGGGCGTTGATTAACGTTAAATTTCGAGGCTTTGAATGGCTTTTTAAAGTTCAGCGCGCAGAAGGCGTGTCTCGATGTTGGCTTAACCTTCGGTATTTGCGCCTACTCCTAATTAGTTAGACATCTGCCAACAGCTCCATCTATCATCTATCACCCATCCGCCCCGCCGCCTGGCAGGGCAAACTTAATAAATTTAATAACCGCAAAATATGCCGTGAGCGAAGTGTGCGGAGACAGGGTGCTAAAAATGCCAGACAACCATCACATCGTTGGCCTATTTATAATCCACATCCCTAAGCATCTCCCACCAAAAAATCATGCGTCATCGAGACGACGCCCACACCTAACCGGCCACGTCTTGTGGGGATGCCAGGAGCAAGACGCGGCGGCTGATTTGATTTGATCTGATATGATTGAGAGTGCCGCCAAGGGCAGGACTTGAGCGACGCCCACACACACACAACCAGGGAAGCCACCGAGAGCTCACAGAGAAACCTTTGGCCCATCGTGAGTCACTTGCTATTTTCGGAGGCGTTGAATCCCCAAAAACCAACTTCCCTATGCCACATGAAAACACTCTACATGATGAGATCTTTAAAGATGATTCTAATTAAATATAAAAAACGAAGGGCAAGCTTTATTAAATTTAATACAAATTTAATTAAAGGTTGGTATAAATAATTATAGGAACTCTAAGCTCAAGGGTAATTGGAGGAAATCCATTCAAACTTTATGAATGACTACTATACTAATTTATATTTAAGTCATGTAATAAAATATATTTAATTCATTTCTCTTTCTGAGTAAAAACAGAAATGACCTAAGGAATATTTGTGCCTATACTTCCGTCACTAGGGAATAAAGGACTCAACTCATCCCCTCAACTAGAAGTACATTTGCATATTCGCTCGTAAATCTGAGAGTAACTTGCCAATCGAACCCTCTAGTTCCATGGGTGGCAGGTCTAGGGCTTTGATTAGATTCTGCAGGGCGAAGTAAATTTAATTTGGAAAACACAACACATTTGGGCAGGCCATCTTATGGCATTTCGAATGGAGTGCGGATGGTCTTTGTCTTGGGCATTCCGCCTACAGTCGCCACATCGAATTCATACGCCCCGTGGCCCAGTTGATTGATACGCTCTCAGCAAGCGCTGAAGGACGTAAACAAGTTCCTGGGACTGAGGTGAGCAGCTCGGTGGAGACACAAAACCTGGCAATTGAAAACTTTCCGCTCTTGGCAACCCTCCATGGCTCGGGAGGACTCGGCTTCAGTCCCGGAATCAAAGCCAGACAATTGTAGTCCCGGTTATTGTGTGTCTTGCCGCTGTGTATATATTGTAATGCTTTTATCTGCCACCCACTCGAGCCGATGTTAGCGTTGCTTACAGGCTCACGCAGCCTGCTCGCCCCAAGTTTCCCGACTTTTCTGAGTTTCCCCAGTTCCGGGTCCGAGTTCGACGTTGACTTCGACTCACGACCATTTCATGGCCAGCCTGCCTTGGCTTTCTTTCTTTCACTTCCCTCTTTGCCGTTGTTTTATGCCCCACTTCCGGGCCTCTCGCTTTTCTTTGTGCCCCAGTGTTTTTTATGCTACTTGCCACTAAAATTTTATTGGTTTATTTATTGTTTTTAGAGCAACTTGCTACAGTTGTTACGCCGCCGGCTCTGGGCTTTTCCTTTTATGTGCACTGCATTAAGCGCTTAGCGGGAGACAATCAATTAAAAGTTTTAGCCATTTTAATTGCTGGATCCGCGCTTCGCTTATTCATTAAGCCCCTTGGACAAGTTTTATGCAAGGAATAATAATGTAAGGCCCAGGACCCAGAGCAGGTCCTTACATCAAATCAGAAATGTGTCAAATGGAGCTGCGCTAGCACCTAAATCCCCGTTGGAGCCAACTATTTCGACTGACATCCTGCAAATGTAAAAGGAATAAAAGTGAACAATTGAAAAACAATTTTAGCCTAAAATAGAGTATGCATTCAAAAAACGATTTGAGAAAATAACAAATGCAGTTATAATAACTTGATTTGTAAATCCAAATATAATATTGTTTTTACAATAACTAAGCAATTTATTTAAAATTTTATGAAAGTTTCTACTAAACAAGAAAGGAATCTAATTTTTCGAAACCGAAGCTTATCTACCTTAGCAGTTTGCAGTTGAATTATAGGATCGAATTAAAAATCGATCTTAATTTAGCTTAAAATATTCGCTTCGCTAAAATTGATATATTTTGTATGTCAAGTTTTTTCGAAAATCAAAGCTTAAAAACGCATAACTAAGCCAAAAAAGCATTAATTTTAATTTGGAAAGCGTTTGTATATTAGTTTTTATTAGTTTTATAAATCTGCATGCTCAATATAAAACAGAAAATTTCAGTTTTGCGGCTGTTAATGCTGATCAAGAATATATATGACTTATAGGGTCGGAAATGATTCGTTCGATAAGCTTTAATTTATTTTCTAAATATAATATAATATGCTAGAAAATATTCCTGATCCTTTAACTCACTGATATTTTTTCCCAGTGCTTTTGTGAAAGACAGGAAGAGCGTGCAAATCTGCATATGTGTATGTGTGTGTCCTGTAGACAAACGGAAATGAAATGTGTGACAGTCGATGGCAGCGAATGGCAGCTCTAGGCGGATATTGATTTCGGTGTGTGTACACGGACGGTGGGAAGAATAGGAAACATTTACCTTCATGTCGGCTCATAGGGGCAAAAAAAAGTAAGCTCAATGTTGGATATAATGTCAAATCAATGTTTGTGCCAGACTCAACGTGATACAGATGAAGAAGAAAATTCATCCTGGTAACCTGGAACAAGTCACCAGGAAAAAAGATCGCAACAATTAATTCTTTGAAGCCATCAGTTTTAGTCACTTCACTCTGTTTAAGCTTTTAATTATTATAAATTAACCCAAAAACTCTTAAAACTGCGTAACTGATTACGCAGGCAGTGCGAGACCCAAATGGATGGCCACCCTTTTCACTCCCTATGTCATTCGTTGCCTAATCCATTCAAAACTAGCTAAACAAAGCAATTTGCGCCGTAAGCTGCGGCATTAATTCAAATTATGACGGGAATAAAGCAAAAGCAGAGCGCTTAATCAAAATGCTTAAGTGAATCCATGGCAACAGGCCGGAGAAGGCAGAACCAAAGCGATGACTCGACTCCCTGGGAAGACGTTACACTTTATGTCATTTGCATTTTAAGCACCTCGCCTCGCATCCCCCATCTTGTCTTCGTCCTGGCGCACGTTCCTCGTTTCCCCTCGTCCTGGCAGCTAAACACGCAAGTTTCTGTCGCAACCTCAGTGCGTATTTCATACAAGCTAATTTTTTTACGATTATATGCGCTTAATAAACGCCAACGCCCGTGGAGCTGCTATGAGGGATATCAGGGAATCGGGACACCGGGACAACAGAGTCTCCGGTCGGCATCTGGGTTCCTTTCTCAGCTTCATTCTCATGCTCAGCCATAAAGTCATCCCCACTGCCGGAATCCGTCCGGACACGTGCTGTGCCCACTGCTTAGCTGGGGCATTATCAGAGCCAGCGCAGCGGAAGCAATGGCAACGCCATCATCACCAACACCAACATGGCAGCGGAGCAGCGGAAGTCCTGCGCACACACATGGGACACGGGATACGGGACACAGTGCCCACAGGCACGCATGCTACAGATCCAACTCCTGCTGTCTTGGATTTGTCCTTAGTGCATAGCTGCGGTACGTGTGTCTACACTGGCTAAGAGTCCTTTCTTGACAGGAATTCGAGTGAAAAGTTCTTGCATTTAACTATTTAGAAGGTGGGTTTTATAAGAGAGAATTAATTTTAAACTAAATTATAAAATGTAATTTAATAAAGCTCTCGAAGATTTCTATTGTGGCAAAAGAACAAAACAACTATTAAATCTGCTGCACTTAAACTCCTCTCCAGGGACAAAAACTATGGAAAACTTCTTAAAAGAAAATTGTTTTTGTGCATATTCAAGAGATTTTTAGCTACATAGAGAGACAGATTTATTTCAGTTGAAAATCTTCTCCTAGTGGCACACGGTGTAACAATTAAATGTCAGCTTTAGTTGAAGGACCTTGATG